CTACTGGTAATTGTTACTGTACTGCCAAATATTTCTATTTAAAATCAAAGCTGCCAGTGGGCGTATATTACCTTGCCTGGCAAGCTATCTTTGAAGTTATTGATTGTCTACCAAAAAGCAAAGAGATAAACCTGTGGTATTTCTTTCTAACTCTAGGCTGATTTGTCAACATGTAACTTGAATACAACAATAGCTTGTGGGTATGTCACAACAGCAGTCAAAGGTTTATCAGTGATTAGGAGTATATTGCCTATGTACTTATAATCCAACAGTTTAGTGTTGTTTAGTTTTACAGTGTTGAGGCCTACAGCTGTCTTTGAGATGGATTTGTAAAAAAAAGTTCAAATCAGGAAGTTGATTGAAACTGATGAATTTTAAAAATTACAATTTTTTTTGTCCTTAAAGAATAATTATTAATTTTGCCATCAACAATTTTCTTCAAGTTCAAATATGTCTAAATATTTGTTTTCTAGATCTAGTATTGTGGCTTAGATTATCTTATGATTATCTAAATTGAAATTATATCAATGAGTTACAGACAATGGATTAATATCAGTGATGTCAGGGTTCTGTAAATCATTCCTCCCTCTAGAATATTTAGATAGAGGTGAAAACGGCCTGGTGATTTAAAGTGTAGACTGTTTGTCCCAGGAGTGTCAGACATCAACCAGTTAACTTTCTAATTACAGGACATTTATTCACACCATCTATAAGTTCAGTAGTGTCTGGCACCAATTTCTTGAATCTTCTTCCATTGACCTGAAACATTGACAGTATTCTGCCAAGACTTTAATTCCTAGAACATGATTCAAGGACTGTATTCCACATAAGATGAAGATGAAACAGAGAGTTTAGTGGTTGGTTAATAAAACTCAATTTGAAGTTAATATATTCATGAATTGGATACTTATAATATATTGTAGTGGCCCAGAATTTTAAAAGACAAAGCACAACTATTTCCCACTGCTGGCTGAAAACAGATGATGGCAATATTTTTGTTGTGTTATGCTTGTTGTAGATATAGTTGTTGTAGATATAGTTGAAATTTTTGTCTAAATTTTGCTTATGCAGTATTTTTTTCTTTTGAAAATTGACAACCACCAACTCAACACCTTGTTTGATGATTTCTAACTCTAGAGTCTGAATTAACAAAAGAAAAATGGTGAAAGTAACCGTTGCAAAATCTTGGCTCATTATTATTTACTCTGAGAGCTTACCTTAGTAATGATTATTATTTTTTGATTTGTAGGGTAGATGTCCTTGCTAAAAATAATGAAATGATTTATTAATTGGCAATGAATTGTGCTTACATCAGGATCCAACTGTCGTATTCTCATTTGTCAAGGCATACCTATAAGTGATTTTTTGATACAATGAAACTAGTTTAAATCAACCAGATGAATCATTTTAAGAATATTTTTAGGAAATTGGAAACCTTGAATTTTCAAATCAAAGTTTTAAGAAGTTATTTCAACACAGATTTAATTTGGATTTAGTTTCTAGTTCTTGAGAGAAATTGTAAAATCTGGAATTGTATTACATCTGTTTGTCTGGGTTATATTCAATGGAATCATCATGTTAGAGAGATTTAGGATGTTAATTGAAGAAGCTCGAGCAGCAGGTTTGTATCTGATTGTTCAACTTGCTAATGCCATGTTGTAAATTTGTAGCAGCCTTTATATTGTTTATTTTTAGCCTCACCTTTATTGTTTCTTTATTTAAGTAATGAATGTGGATCTTGTTATCGTTATGGGGAAATAAATAGACAAATGACCCTGCGAAGCGGGTCATGTACATCTTGTCACATGCTGGTTTATCATGTGACAAGACAAATGAACCGGCAAAGCGGGTCATGTACATCTTGTCACATGATAAACCAGCGTTTTTTTCCCCATAACGATAACAAGATCCACATTCATTCCTCATATTTACATTGGTTTATCTTCTCTGATAAAATACGCCAAAATGTTCTATTTTTTAATTGTAAAAATACCCGAAAACCATTGTTGCTTAATCCTTGTTTTCGATGTATTTATACGCCTTATTGTCACATGACAAACTACAGTTATTGGAAATTAAACCGTCCCAATCACCTCCTGTTATGACCTCAACCCAGTTTCCCCCTGTCAGTGATGCAGGTAAGAGGGGCTGACATGGAAAAAGCGTCTAGTCGTTCGGATGGGACAATAAACCGAGGCCCCGTGTGCTACAGGCTGTGCACGTTAAAGATCCCTCGACAGTTGGAAATCGAAAAAGAGCAGGCTAATGCCGCTGTCCTGGCAAAATTTCCCTCATTGCACCCTGCATGGCGTCGCCCGTCTTCATTAGCCCACATGGTGCAGAAAAGTAGGACGTAAAACTCCATTCATTTCATTTCATTTTTCCTGTTATGACCTAGAAAATATGTCAAATCAACAGTGGTTCAATGACTGAATTCCATCAATAATGAACAATGCAAGCTAACAAGGAAATTCCTGTGAACAATCTATAAATGGAAAGGAATCACTTAAATTTCAAATTTTACAAACCAACAAATTTGGGTAAAACAAGAATAATGTTATATTTATCTATATTGTGTTCTATTTATGTCTATCACATAGTAGTTTAATGATTTTGTAATATTTTTTTCTTGATGTTGTTTTATTAGTTAATGTAGTTTAGGGAATTAGAAATGGCCGGGAGTTCAATCATAGCATTAGTTCTTATAGCATCCTTTATAATATTTAAGTGATGCAGATCATGGGAGCTGATGTCAGAAACATTTTGTTATTTATATGGGACAGTAAACTGAACCCTTTTGTCAACCCATGACATTCAGAAATAAATAAAAGTGGGCTAATGCAGCTGTTATAGCCAAACTTTATAATTGTTATCTTGTCTTAGGTGAATAAAAGTATGATGTAAAACATCAATTTTATTTGATGTTGTATTGGTAATGATGATGTAATCCTGTTAGGACAGCATTAAGAGAAATTGATTTGAATCAAAATCATCAATGACATTGTTCGTGTTGAACTATGTAGCATGAATAAAACATTCAAAGACAAAAGAAAAGTTTCAGTTCAAGATGCTTTTAACCATGACATTGATGAACTGTGAATGAAAATTTACTTTATAGATAAAAGGTTGACAAAGGTCCTTAGTTATACTGATCAGACTAACCTAGCTATTAAATATTCAACATGAATACATAGAAAATTCTTCAGGTCCATGTACCATCGACAATGACATTGGTAGACTACACTCTAAACAGTCAATGAATATAAATAACAATACTACATACTATTGTAGGTCAGAATGTCTTCAGCAATTAATGAGGAAAGTTGAAGATTTTATGATAATAGTAAATAGAGGATCTTAAATGTTTATGTCCAATGAAATTTATGAAATGAGTTGCCAGATTTAATATTTAATTTTGGCATTGAATTTCATAAATTTCAAATGATATAAGCATGAGTGAAAGTATCTATTTATCATACAACTATTAATAAAAGCATATCATCTAGCCTTTTTACACCTTTCTACAAAATGCCCTTGCATGTAACAAAAAAAGATATGGAGCGATTTCATGCCCTTCCATTGTAACTGAGTTATCAACTTTAATGGACGACATGGTGTTTGTTTAGATGGTGTGTGCTATGAGTTCATATTGTTTTTATGAACCTTTGTTATGAACTTAGGAACAGTTCTGTGTGATCACATGAAGTACTCTCTTTTATTTCTCATATGTTCTTCACTCCAACTGTCTTGTATTATCTTTTCTTTTCAAATTAAAACTACATAAAAGCTTACTTAAAAACAGGATGTGATGTCATTCCCCTGAGCATGATCTGTGTTTACACAATTGCTCTATTTTACCTATAAGTATTATTCAATTGTTCTATCATTTCTTCAACCATTCAATCCTATTATATAGTTTTTCTAAAAATTTGCAATAGTTCTTCATGATGATTTATTTGTAACCTCAGAGTGATTTGAATCCTTTCTTTGTGTTAGAGTTCTTATCAAGATCTATTTTATAATATATCAGTTCTTATAAAACTTAGTCAGAGCATAAAAAGGTATCCAAAGAGATTTACTATGTTTCAAGCCACGTCAGCTTTTCGTTTTCTACATTCAAATCTCTCATTGTTCATGTTGATCTATTGTTTCTAACAATGACTCAATTCCACACAATAATAAATTTAATGGAATCCTCTCTGGAAAATTGGATCTTGATGAATATTACTAGGAAACTTTGTTTTAGGATCATTCTTCATCTCAATCTAAAATAAATCTCATCTTTTAACTGTGTTACAAGCAAAAACTGAAATTCTAAAGCTAAAGAACTTGAATAATTTCTTTAAAGAATCAAAATCCCATTGAAATGAATTAAAAACTAAAAATTCTCTTTATAAAACTATCTAAAACTTAAGGTTTATGGAAAAGCTATCTGTGACAACTGTAAAGTTTTAAAGAAAGTAATACCATTTAATTTTGATTTATTTCTTCCTCTGACACTTTATATGTTCAACATTGACCATTTGATCAAGGCACACCAAGAGAATACAAGATACATAATATTTCATAGTTTTATGAATGCTTACAGTCAATTTTACATTGATTGTTTGAACATAGCCTAGTGACTTCATATTGGTAACTGTCATTTAGATTTAAACAAATAACTTCAAGGTGGTGACAGACCTATTATTCCACATCCATGGTTTTATTATTATCTTCTGTTGATCAAATCTAATTATAAAAATTATATAGAATATCACGACCATCATCAATTAGAATATGGAATGTTTTGAGCTAATTATGTTCTATTTATTCTGTTATATTCCCCATTACTACTCATGTATAATTCAGAAACCTCCTACCTTGTTTCCTATTATTATAGCCAATTATAGTCTATATTTTATGCTGGGAAAATAATTTTCTTGTCTAAATCTTCTCATGAGCCTAAGAAATATTCTCATCAATTTAAGTGTTCTTTTTTTCAAAAAAAATCTGCAAACATGTCTGGTGTTTTGAGTCTGTGTCCTTTTGTGCTAGGTATAAACATTTGAATGATATCGTATCAAATTTATACAAATTTTTGTATCTATCCTTTCCAGACATTTTTTCTTATCTTGCTTACCTCTCAGTACCTTTTTCATTAGTCTAAAAAGTAATAGCAAAATATATAAAGATAAAAAAAATCTATATCACTCTAGAAGAGAAAATGAAACATAAATTTTGTATGTTTAATTATAGTAGCATGTTAGTGTTTAGATATTTTTTTTTATTTTTGTATTTTCTTTAGCTTTGTATATTTGAAAACATTAAAATAGCAAAGCTTTGAAAATAATACCCCTAGTTTTTGGTATTTCAAAACTACTTTAGGATGATTATTATCAAAACTCAAGAAACATTAAGAATCTTATGAAAAGTATGGATTTGGGTCATTAATGAGTTATTGTCACAATCATAATATTATTATTAAATATTATTTTCTTTTAACTTGTTTCAGGTAGTCTTTTAGCAGATGATGATGGCTCACCTTCTCTGGCCCGAGCTGCAGGGAGCCATCGTGGAAGTATGGATAGGACTGGATATCCACAAGAGGCTGATAAAAAGAGACTGCATCAACTGTTTGAATCTTTTAGATCCAACACCAATGACAGTGACAGTAATGCTAGTGTGAAACATGTTTCATGTCGCAGACGTCGTGATTCTGGATCATCATCCTCATCAGAAGAGGATAAAAAGAGAGATAAATCTAACTTATATAAATCTGTATGTGATTCAATAACTTCTTCAGAACCAGGCCTCATTCCATCACGACCAACTTCTGAAACTGAAAGTGCCCTGAACTCTCCTGTAGCTAAACCTAGTAGACTCAATTCCAAACCAATAGAAACCACTGTGCCTCCAGAACTGACTAATGGGAATTCTAGAAACTTACGTGATAAAGCTATATCTAGTGACACTGTATCTCAATCTAGTTCTTCTGAAAATGCCAGATTTTCTTCAACAGAAAGTGGTCAAAATGCAAAACGAATTGAATCAAAAATTCAGCAAACCAACCAAATGTCAAATTTATGTCCTCCAAGTGCCTCCCCACGACAGAATGTGAGATTATCTCCTGAACATTCCAATATGCATCTTCGGAAAGGATCTGGCCAATCAGATACTTCGAGTATATCATCAGCAAGAACAGCCTCTCCTGCCACTAAAATGCGTTTGTTGGACCTAGCTAGTACTCGTGCATTAGAACGAGATGGTTCTGATGGCTCTGACAACGATGATTCACATCGTTCCAGAAAAAATAAGAAGCATTCCATAAGTGAGTACTTTTCTCTTCTTTATTGATCTTGCTAAGGTCATTTTTTTTATTTGCTTTTCACTAAGCAATTTGCATCAAGGTTCTTCCAAGATATTTTATGGTGAGTAACATTTTACAGGCGTAAATTCATTTTCTCCAGGGTGACGGTATCTTATATTGTTTATTGGATATCACTATGGTTTTACAATAAAAAAAAATTGTATTTGAGTTTATGACAGCAGCTTATTGAATCCTAATCAACTACCCTTTTCAGTCCCATTCTTAGAGGTACTTTTATTATACGCTCACATGGAAATGTGGATGTATATTGCCGTCGCCTCGGTCCGTTGGTCCATCAACATTTCTTGTGAACACAATAGAGACTACAGTTTTCAATTGATTTTAATGAAATTTGGTGTGATCATTTATATTGATGAGATCTTGGTCAAGTTCAAATTTGACGATCTTTCGATGAACCATTTTTGAGTTATTGCCCTTGACTTAAGAAAAACGCGTCAAAATTTGTTTGTGAACACAATTTGTGTACACAGTTTTCAACTGATTTTAATGAAATTTGGTGTGATCATTTATATTGATGAGATCTTGGTCAAGTTTGAATTTGATGATTTTTCTATGAACGGTCTTTGAGTTATTGCCCTTGACTTAGGAAAAACATGTCAAAATTTGTTTGTGAACGCATTAGAGACTACATTTTTCAATTGATTTTAATGAAACATGGTGTGATCATGTATATTGATGAGATAATTTGATGTATTTGGGTTATTGATATTGATTTTTAAAAATTTGGTGGAATTTCTCAGTATAAATAAATGGCAGTAAATATATATATAATTGAATTCAAACTATTAAAATTTCTTTAATATGAGAAAATTCATACTGTAGTCACTAAAGACTGTTTTATTATTTCTGACAGCTGGCAGTTGGCGTATGTTACTTTGCGTGGCAAGCTATCTTTTATTAATGAATTTACGATCAAACATTTAGCTAGATATTCATTTGTGACCAAATAACCCAAATGTTAGAGATGTTGTATGATTTAAACATATCTCAATTGGATAAACTAGTCTGGCACAGCAGTTTTATAATTCTGAAAGCATAATGAATAGACAAATAGAGAGATGGTATCTAGTGGGCTGTTTTTTATGATGCAATATACAATAGAATAGAGAATAATTATAAACATGAGATTGCTTGCTGTATGTCTTTATCCTCTCATTATACTGCTTTCAATAAGGTTACAATATTATCTCATTTCTAAGACTTGGAAGCTAAAACTTAAAGATAAAATATTATTGCTCTTTGATTAAGAATAATGGGTTAAACTAGTAAAAGATATGGTTATGCTTTTGGCAAGAAAACAAAGTTCTGTTCATTGTAACGTGTCAATTCTGTATCTATTCATCCCTATGATTTTAAAATATTGTTAATAAACTAAACTTGATGTACAGCCGTAACGATTTTTATATGCCCACATTATAATGTGGTCGTATATTGTTGTCGCCCCTGTTTGTCCGTCAGTCCATCCGGACGTCCAGAATTGGCTTGTGAAAGCAACAGAGACAACAGTTTTTATCTTATTTAAATGATATTTGGTGTAATTATTTATGTTTGTGAGACCTTGGACAAATTCGAATTTGACGATCTTTCGATGAAAGGATTTTGAGTTATTGTCCTTGACCTAGGAACAACACATCAAAATGTGTTTGTGAACACAATAGAGACTACAGTTTTCATCCAATTTAAATGAAATTTGGTGTGATCATTTATAATTTTAGTCAAGATTGAATTTGACGATTTTTCGATCAATGGAATTTGAGTTATTGCCCTTGACTTAGTAAAAATGCATCAAAATTTGTTGGCTTGTTAACGGGATAGAGGTGACAGTTTATGTCAGAATTTTATTCAATTTTGTGTGTTTGATTAAATCAACAATATCTTGCACAAATTAGATTTTTGTTATGATTTGACACAGATTGGTGACCGCCCTTGATATATTGAAAATGTATCAGGAAAGTGGGTGTATCTTGCTAGGCAACCACTTGTTGTATTTATAACTGATAAAACTCTTATAACATAAAAAACTGTTGGCTTATTTAAAATGTAAAGTATCAATACCATACAAATTTAAAATTCTGCTGTTACACATGCTGAATAGCAAAAGGTGTTTATTGTTGATAAGCTTATATATCCCAATTTTTTTAGTGGTATGTTTCATACTACTAGACTGACATTAAGCAGTGATGAAAGCTACAAAATGTTCTGTAATGTGATTGTGAACGAAATGGTGTAAGTCTCAAGTTGCACTTTACTTAGATATAGGTTATATTTATGGCCCTTCAGTTGAAAGTCTGACATCGTTCACCAAGAATACTATGTGGAGAACATTTATGATGATGATTTATCTGGTATGGTCATTTTAAAGGAAAACAGTCTTGTCAATATTTGCTTCGATATGTGCGTTAGATATGTCACCTGACATTTTATCAATAATGATAATAACACAAAACAAGTCATGATGACTTCCTAAATTATTCATTAGAATCATTGTTGTGAAAATTGTAAATCATTAAACAAATATATAATAGCAGTAATGTCATTCTGCCCTGATAATACAATTCTATTTAGTTTTGATAATTAATATATTATTAAACCAATGCCAGTGTATATGGAAGGAATTTGTACAATGTAAAATATCAGAAATTTCTAAAATCTATTGTATTGCCATTTCACAGTCTATAATACAAAAATGGAAAATTTACGACAAAATTTAGAATAAGTATGAGCATCAATGACATAAATATGTACAGGAAATGGAAATGATTTGTATTCCTTACATTTGTCATTCTACTATACAAATACAGAGAGATTTACGCTCATGAAATAATTGTAGCTATAGTACACAATAGGATCACAAATTACATTCCAGGGGGAAACCCATGGTAGAAAACATGAACGTAAGTTATATTTAGAGATTTTGTGCTAAGGTGAAATGAGAATTTAACTAATAGAAAGCACGGGCCTATGTCCAAAACAAGGACTATTCATTTAGAAGTGCTGCTTACTACCGGTTAGGAAATGGAATCAGAATTTTTTCTTGTGGATTCCAAAATGTCAACTTGTGGCATCTGAAATTTCAACTTTTAAAAGATATATTCAGAAATATAATTTGGACTTTAGATTTTAAGTTTTGTTATTTTTATAAAATATTAAATAAAACAGCTTTTAATAAAATTCTAAAAGCATTTTGTGAATGTTTTTTTCAATATCGTATTTGTGGTTTTGTGAATGATGTCAGTGCCTTGTATGTAATTAGTGGTTTAGGATTGATAGTTTTCTGTAAAAGCAGTCTTGTTAGGTTTCTGTTAGCAGTGTAGGCAGTTGTTCTGTAAATAGTGTGATTAGTTGTTTTTTAGGCAGTATGGTTAGCTTATTCTGTAAGCAATGTGACTAGTTGTTCTTTAAGCAGTGTGGTTAGTTGTTCTGTAAGCAGTGTGGTTATTTGTTCTGAAAGCAATGTGGTTAATTGTGTGGTTTATTGTTCTTTAAGCAGTGTGGTTAGTTTGTTCTGTAAGCAATGTGACTAGTTGTACTGTAAGCAATGTGGTTATTTGTTCTGTAAGCAATGTGGTTAATTGTGTGGTTTATTGTTCTTTAAGCAGTGTGGTTAGTTGTTCTGTAAGCAATGTGGTTAATTGTGTGGTTTATTGTTCTTTAAGCAGTGTGGTTAGTTTGTTCTGTAAGCAGTGTGGTTAATTGTTCTCTAAGGAATGTGGTTAGTTTGTTCTGTAAGCAGGATTGTTAGTTGTTCTTTAAGCAGTGTGATTAGTGGTTTTATAATTAGTGTGGTAAGTTGTTCTGTAAGCAGGATTGTTAGTAGACCGAAACATCTGTTTCTATTCCAGCCACTGATATCTCTTTGACAGATGTCAGCTGGTGTAGAGACAGAAATAATAATCCCTGTTAAATGGACATTCTGAATCTCCGATGGTGCAGGGGTTATAAACCTATTTAGATACCTCAGATCTGAAAAACACAGGTAAATTTAGATGAATATTTTTGTATTTCAGTTATACCATCATTTTCATGTCTCCGGTTCCATAAAATTTTCTTTTCGCGAAAATGATCTAGCATCGGCCATTTAAAACTGCCAAAAGTTCAAAGGTCACAGAGTTACGTGATACTAACAAAACGAATGCTGCGGTGATGCCCAACACTAATTTACAATCATCTTAAGGGTAATTCAATAAAAACACAACTTTGGAGGTGTAGAAAATCCCCATTTAACAGGGTCTTTTTCTTCTGACTCAACTTCAGCTGACAACTGTCAAAATATCCATCAGAGGCTGGAATAGAGACAGATGTTTCGGACTAGATTGTTAGTTGTTCTTTAAGCAGTGTGGTTAGTTTGTTCTGTAAGCAGGATTGTTAGTTGTTCTGTAAGCAATGTGGTTAGTTTGTTCTGTAAGCAGTGTGGTTTGTTTGTTTTGTAAGCAATGTGGTTAATTGTTGTGTAAGCAGTGTGTTTAGTTTGTTCTTTAAGCAATGTGGTTAGTTTGTTCTGTAAGCAGTGTGGCTAGTTGTTCTGTGAGCAGTATGGTCAGTTGTTCCATAAGCAGTGTGGTTAGTTTGTTCAGTAAGCAGTGCAGTTAGTTGGTTCTGTAAGCAGGATTGTAAATTGTTCTGTAAACAATTTGGTTGATCTTTCTGTAAGCAATGTGGTTAACGGTTCTATAAGCAGTGTGGTTAGTTGTACTGTAAGCAGTGTGGTTAGTGTTCTGTAAGCAGTGTGGTTAGTGTTCTGTAAGCAGTGTGGTTGGTGTGTTCTGTAAGCAGTGTAACTAGTTGTTGTATAAGCAGTGTGGTTAATAATTCTATAAGCAGTGTGGTTAGTTGTTCTATAAGCCTAGCAGTGTGGTTAGTTGTTCTTTAAGCAGTGTGGTAAGCTTGCTCTGAAAGCAAGATTTTAAGTTGTATTTTAAGCAGTGTGGTTAGTTTGTTGATGTGGACGTATATTACCGTCGCCTTGGTCAGTCCGTTCACATTTCTTATAGTCGCGATAGAGTCTACAGTTTGTATCCTATCTTCATGAAACTTGGTATGCATGTATGTATTGGTAATATTCGGATGAATGGTTTCAGAGTTATTGCCCTTGACTTAGTAAAAACGCGTCAAATTTGACATATAGGCACGATAGAGACTACAGTTTTTATCTGATCTTGATGAAACTTGGCATGCATGTATGTATTGATGTGATCTCAGTCAAGTTCGAAATTGGTAATAATTGGATGAATGGTTGCGGAGTTATTGCCCTTGACTCAGTAAAAACTTCTCAAATTCGGCCTGCAAGCACGATAGACACTACAGTTTTTATCTGATCTTGATGAAACTTGGTATGCATTTATGTATTGATGAGATCTTGGTCAAGTTAGAAATTGGTAATAATTGGATGAACTGTTTCAGAGTTATTGCCCTTGTTTGTACAGCAATGAGACTTTGTTCATATTTGAATTTAATGAACTGTTTCAGGTTTTTGCCTTGACTTATAGATGATTTAGATTATTTGAAAATTCATTATTAAGCCACTACATATTTTGTTATCATTTCTGACAGCTGGTAGTGGGCCTATGTTACCTTGCCTCACAAGTTATCTTTCTTTAAGCAGTGTAGTTAGTTGTTCTATAAGCAGTGTGGTAAGTGATTTTTTAAGCAGTGTGGTTAGTTTGTTCTGTAAGCAGTGTGGTTAGTTGTTCTTTAAGCAGTGTGGTTAGTTGGTCTTTAAGCAGCGTGGTTAGTTGTTCTTTAAGCAGTGTAGTTAGTTGTTCTATAAGCAGTGTGGTAAGTGATTTTTTAAGCAGTGTGTTCTGTAAGCAGTGTGGTTAGTTGTTCTTTAAGCAGTGTGGTTAGTTGGTCTTTAAGCAGTGTGATAAGTTATTCTGTAAGCAAAGTGGCTAGTTGTTAAGTTAGCAGTGTGATGAGTTGTTCTGTAAGCAGTGTGGTTAGTTGTTAAGTTAGCAGTGTGATGAGTTGTTCTGTAAGCAGTGTGGTTAGTTGTTAAGTTAGCAGTGTGATGAGTTGTTTTGTAAGCAGTGTGATTAGTTGTTCTGTAAGCAGTGTGGTTAGTTGTTTTGTAAGCAGTGTGGTTAGTTGTTTTGTAAGCAGTGTGGTTAGTTTGTTCTGTAACCAGTGTGGTTAGTTGTTCTATAAGCAATGGACGATTTTACCATGCCATGAATGCAGATTTTGCTTTATAACATGACCTCCTAAGCAGTTTGGAATTGTCATTTATTGTTGTATGCCATAGTATACATTTTAAAATTTGATCTGATTTTCTTCTGGGTAATCAAAGGTTTTACAAAGAGTTTTTTTGTATATCAGGTAGCATCTTTTTGCACCATTCCAATTTTCAATCAAACATCTGCGGTTCTTGCAATTCCACCAAACATATTTTATGATGTCACTAATTGTAAAATACTTTATCACAAAAGGCTTTCGCGATTAGTGATGCCATCAAACACTTTCTTTTAATGGAATAATAATAGATTTAGAAAACCATTTTTATACGCCCACATGAATATGTGGTCGTATATTGTCGTTGCCCCTGTCCGTCGATCCGTCGGTCAACATTTTTTGTGAGCACTATAGAGACTACAGTTTGTATCTGATTTTGATAAAACTTGGTGGGATGCTTTAAATTGATAAGATCTCTGTTAAGTTCGAATTTGACATATTTTCGATGAACGGTTTTTTGAGATATTGCCCTTGACTTAGAACGCCTTGAAATTTGTTAAAAATTGTTCGTGAGCAGGATTGAAGCTACAGTTTTCATCCGAATCTGATGAAACTTGGTTTGATCATTGGAATTCATAAGATCTCGGACAAGTTCTAACTTGACGCATTTTCGATGAACGGTTTTTGAGTTATTGCCCTTGACTTTGTTAAAACGCATAGAAATTTGTTTAAAATAGTTCATGAGCAGGATTGAAGCTACACTTTTCAACCGATTCTGAAGAAACTTGGTGTGATCATTGGAATTGATAAGATCTTGGACAAGTTCTAATATGACGCATTTTCGATGAATGGTTTTTGAGTTATTGCCCTTGACTTTCTTAAAACACGTCAAAATTTGTTAAAAATAGTTCGTGAGCAGGATTGAAGCTACAGTTTTCAACCGATTCTGATGAAACTTGGTGTGATCATTGGAATTGATAAGATCTCAGACAAGTTCTAGCTTGACGCATTTTCGATGAATGGTTTTTGAGTTATTGCCCTTGACTTTGTAAAAACACGTCAAAATTTGTTAAAAATAGTTTGTGAGCAGGATTGAAGCTACAGTTTTCAACCGATTCTGATGAAACTTGGTGTGATCATTGGAATTGATAAAATCTCGGACAAGTTCTAATTTGACACATTTTCAATGAACGGTTTTTGAGTTATTGCCCTTGACTTTGTTAGAAATAGTTCGTGAGCAGGATTGAAGCTACAGTTTTCAACCGATTCTAATGAAACTTGGTGTGATCATTGGAATTGATAAGATCTCGGACAAGTTCTAACTTGACGCATTTTTGATGAACGGTTTTTGAGTTATTGCCCTTGACTTTGTAAAAACGCGTCAAAATTTGTTCGTGAGCACAATAGAAGCTACAATTTTCAACCGATTCTGATGAAACTTGGTGTGATCATTGAAATTGATAAGATCTCGGACAAGTTCTAACTTGACGCATTTTCGATGAAATGTTTTTGAGTTAATGCCATTAACTTACGAAAAACGCGTCAAAATTTGTTTGTGAGCACACTAGAAGCTACAGTTTTCAACCGATTCTGATGAAACTTCATCATTGGAATTAATAAGATCTCAGACAAGTTCTAACAAGAGATATTTTTGATGAACATTTTTTGAGTTATTGCCCTTGACTTTGTAAACACGCGTCAAAAGTTGTTTTTTGCCCTTGATTAGAGCTGTGTGATTTAATTGTTTGTTGTATTTGGGTTATTGATATTGATTTTAAAAAATTTGGTGGAATTATTCAGCATAAATAATTTCTTCAATATGAGAAAATTCGTACTTTAGTCACTAAAGACTGTTTTATTATTTCTGACAGCTGCCAGTGGGCGTATGTTACCTTGCAACGCAAGCTATCTTACAATCCCTTTAAGGTTAAGAATTTAGAAAACCACTTTACAATCCCTTTAAGGTTAAGATAATGCCAAAAGTTGATAATAATGTAGTTTATTATAGATTTGGATGTATTCTTTGCATTACATGACTATTTTGCTTTTGTTTTAGTCATAACTAATAAAATAGAATCCAAAATCACTTGAAACTAGTTGTCAGTCAGGACTAAAATTATATTTCTTTTGACAGTATATGATAATTAATATAAGAAGTTTAAAATTTTAGAAAGAGCATGCTTTGAGATATCATCTATATATTACTAATGCTTACTGTTTCTTCTATTTTATTAGGCACTTGGAGTAGAGAGTGTCAGACAGTCTCACAGTATGAGGAGGGGTTTCAATATCATTTAAAATCACAAAACCTAGACACTACTGCTTTCGAGGCTAGCTATCTTGATGGGACTGGTTCTGATTCCTTCTTTAGCCTTAAATTGGATGTTGGATTGAACCACGATACTAAGAATTGCATGTTGAATTTTGGGGCTGATGGTTATACTGACAGCAGTACATGCATGTTAAAGCATAATAACCACCCCATCAATGAAACCTATTGTTTGTCTCAATCATCATCTAATTCTGGCACTTTAGACTCGCTGCATGCTCCTTCTCCATACTGTCCTACTACCTCTGCTCTGCAGCATTTTAACACACCTTCAGCACAAAATTCTGATGTAGAATCTATAGAAGACACTTGCACTCATTTTTCACTTGCTGAGTCATTATCCAGTGAATTATATTACACACCAGTGGCATACCTTACCTCTGATAACAATACTACTAACACTAATACTAAACTTCACAGAAGTTCAATCTCTGACCTTTCTCCTGTAGTAAAAGGTAACTCTAAAGTATTTCAGGAATCACAGCAACTAACATCATGTAACAAAACCTTCATCATAGACAGAGAAGACATCCCAGACTCATTTGACATTGTAGATGCTGTCACTGAAGAAGAGGACCCAGACCAAAAATGTTCCAAATATGTCCTTGACATTAAAGAATATGTCAATATTGATGATGAAGAATACGATTCAGATTTGGAATCCAAAGACCGGCAATTAGGAGAAACCTATATTTATGGTGAAGCAGACCAACTACTGACAGATCTTGAAAATGACAGTGAAGTTAGCTTTCTCACCTCTCCCCATATAGACTTTAATGCAATTCATAAACCTGTCCCAAAACATGCTTATCCTATAACTGATACAGATGAGGTCTCAGATAACTTGAGTGTCATATCTGAAACCACTGAGCCTGATAATTCTTCCCTGAGTGATCTGGCTTCAAATTATCAAGATGAAAATGATGATATTGATGAACTTGCCAACAAGTCCATAGATGTACTTTTTGATGACCAATATGATCTCCCTATAACGAAGTTCAGAAGTCCCAGATTAAAGAAGAAGTCAAATAGAACCCCAACAAGCACACGTAAACATGTATCATTTTCAGAAGGAACAATCTTTAAACAAGAAACCAACTTACAGTCTGATGTCCCAAAGCAATTAGAAATTCCTATTATGGCCAACTACAAGGAGGTCACATCACAAAAAGAAGGACCAGATAATGTATCAATTGGTCAAACTGCTTCCTTAGTAAAAGATGAAGAGTATAATCTGAAAGAAACTATAACCAATACACACCATCTCTCATCAAATCTTATTCAACAGGAAATTTCACCTGAGACAGAGACCAATTCATCTAAAATCAAATCCCCAATTGTTGTATTAAATGATGATGTGCCCAACATCGCCATTACTGAAGATCTAGAACAATCACTTCCTGTTGAAAAAGTGCCTTCTGACATCAAAGTTGATATGAAAAATACTGTTAACATTCCAGACTCACAAAGGAATAAACCCAGCAGTGGAGCCAAATATTCAAGAAATGGTTCAAAACTCAAAGTTCAAAAGTTTATGAAGAAGGTTAAGAAGAACAGCCCAAGGTCAAGTCCAGTTGAAGAACTGGAATCAGACAGTAATTCTGCAAGTTCAATTGTTGACTCTACCAAACCAACTGAAGCAAATTCACGAGAACAAAAGAGCCCCTTACCTAGAAGAAGAAAGCAAAACACTAAGATTAGCACACCTAATTCCAATGAAAGAACCAAATCTATTCATATAGAAAAGACAAAATCTGCCCAAATCGAACAAAAATCAAAGAATTATTTAAGAAGTGAATGTAAAGATTTGAAAGTGAAGCCAAAATTGACCAATTCAGGAAAAGACATGGAATCATATAGAATGCAGTCTTCCACTTTAAAGGTCTCCCTTATGAATCAAAGTCCAAATTTAGCTACGAAACAAGATCTTCACCCAAACGATGTTGTTCCAGACAGTTGCCCAAACAACTCATACAACCGGTGTCAAGGTCAATTGCAACGAACTGTAACATCAAATAAAATTGAACAGACACAGTCTACCACACCAATGGAACTTCCTAAAGACAGGAAGAAACCTCCCAAGATCAATTATCAATATTTGAAAGAAGTACAATCTTCAGAGACTGATTCAGGGAATGAAAACCATCAAGAAATATTTTCTTTTACCATAGACAAATTGAAATGGAAATCAAACATGCAATCTGTAAATAATGACTGTGATAAGCATTCCAAACGAGAACTATCTGATGAAAATTATGTAAATTTGATGTCTAGAGATTTAAATTCTCATCAGAATCCTGGAAAAACTGTAAATGATATTCTGATTGTTATTAATCAAGCAGACGAAGTAAAAATTCCAAGAACAATTCGATGTGATGATGGCGAAAATAATGAACTTAAAAATTGTGATGAAACCTATTCAAATTCTGTCTCCATTGCTTCCGATATAAACAATCAGACAGTTCCAAATGATTTTGAAATAAGCACTAAGAGTTGTGATAAATGGAAAGGAATTGAAATGAAGCACTCAAAGACAGATGTGTTTAGTTGTGAAAGTGGTAGTATGGAAGTGACAAGTTCTGAAAGTTGTGGTGACCATTTGGATTTTGAGATTAAGAACAATAATTTAGACATAAGAGAAAATTTGGAAGAAGAAAATATATCCAATGAGCTTGCAATCAAGAGGATCACTGATGAATTTCCTAATACAGACATATCACTAATGCAAGCTGAAGATGGTGTCCAAACTACTATTGATTTCATACCAAATATGAAGAAGTCAGAAATCAGCAGAGAAGAATGGCTACAAACTGTGCAAAATCAAAATATTAACAAAGATGGTTGTTCTGTTGAAATAATAGAAGACTCCAAGTGTGAATTGTCTAAAGATTATGAATATGATATTACTGTGCCTGAAATGAATGATTTTAAAAACACACTTCCTGTTGATATTTCTGTCCATTATTCAAAAAATGATGGTCACATGCCCAATGCAGAGGTCATCATGGAAAATCAGGATTTGTCATTGAAAGACCTAAAAAAGGATGAATGTAATTCTACCAAAGACCTGTCCAATTCTCAAAAATATGTCAACACCAAACATCTGGTTGTGTCAATTAAAAATAATCAGAAATCTGAATTGTGTGAGAAACTTCTCCTGGAAAGTATTAGAAAGTATGAAAGTGAGCAGGAATCTGACCCAAATGGTAATGATTTTGAAAGCAATTCAATGTCCGGTGTGCCTGGAGATGTAATTCAAAGGGATAGTGTAAAATGTGCTGAAATTTCATTGGAGGTTGAAGCTTTACCAACTGGTATGGTTAATAATCCATTAATTCCATCTTTGAATGCATCTATACAAGAAAGCAATACTCTCAACCCATCACATGATTCAGACACAGAAAGCCAGCACCCTGAAGACTCTTTCTATGATTACCAATGCCTAAATGATTCCAAACAAATCACATTACAATACAGTACTGGGGAGGAAAGCAACAAGTCTATTTATAGTAATAATACTGGATATTGTGTTATAGAGGATAACCCTATCTCAACTACAACTAACCTACACTGCACTAATCCAAATATTAACAGTGATGTTGCCATGGATACTAATAAAATGCTCCCAAAGGTTAAAGAAGGTCCTGAAAATGCTTCAAAACAGGACCAAGCATACCCCTCCTCCCCAACTACTGGAGAATCTCCAAATATGGATAACTCTAGCAGACAACTCACACAAACAATTCCTGATATCCACATAGTTTCCAGTTCTTCTTTGCCCAAAGCTACAGTAACAGGTAACCATATATTAGTAGTCCATTGTCCTAAAGCCTTATTAATATACAGCTTGATTAGTTCCCATGGTTATGGTACCTTAATAAAAATGATTAAATTTCATCACAATATTTTAAATTTAAGATTTATTTGAATGCATCTGCTCTGCATGCTTTCCTTGCTCTTTTATGCTTGAAGGCTTGATTAAAGTTCTTTAATTGTTGCCTTAATAAATATTACTTTTGATAGACATAATTTCAGATATCTGTATTTTTCAAAACTTTTACAAAGTGTAGAAGGTGAAGAAAGAAATCAGCTCCAAGTGTTGTAGGCAGAGAAATTATTTTTTCAGTAATATTATAAGAAACACATTTTTCTTTATTTTGGCTGTAATTAATGATCAGATTGTTAAAGCTTTGCAGAACTTTAATTGAGCTTAAAATCCTGTTGCTCTATCTTAGAAATTACTGTGATAGTATCATGATACATTCATAAGCTGTTGTAGTTCTGTGACCTTAGATTATCTAAAACATTAACATTTGATCTTACTTTTCTCATTAATAGTTTTCTGTTGTAGGTTGATGATCTGCCTTGTTATTTTTGTTTGCCATAGACCTACAACAGAGGTTGACAAAAAGAATCTTCTATAAACAAATAATCACTGCTGTTCTGTAAAAACTTCTCACATTAAATGGGATGGCAATTTTATTGGCACATTAAAGTACAGAGCAGTAGGAAATATAATTCAATTATTTCATTTAATCAAAGTAAAGAATGTAATAATAGGTCACAGTAGGGAATACACTCGAATCTCTATGTTATTACTGTTATTTTAATTATTCTCAGCTAATCGATCCTGACTACAATTTACATTCCCAGACAGAAACACTGATACCATTTTAGCCTATAGTGGTTATTTTATCTTTGAAAGGATTAGCAATCATTTTATTCATATTTGATTTAGCTAAATGATTGAGTATGTTGCCTGATTTTTTCTTGTAAAAAAATAGAAATTCATACCATAACCATATAAAGTATGTCCAAAATTTATTTTTGATATTTCTGTATTGACTTTTGCTGCCTAGCTATACATTTCCCTTGTAGCTAAATGCGCAATTTACTAATTGCTTTGCTCCAGTTTAATTTGGAATATACTTTTTTCCATTGCTGGTTAATCTGCCACCTGGATGTTTGCAATGTGAAGGAAGTTGCTATGTGTGTCCTTTCAAAATCAATCTATAAAGGCAAAAGAAATCTCACGTATAATATATATTTCTTTATTTTCCAATGCTTATATGCAAGTAAGGACATTGGAGAAAGTCGGTGTTTGACACTCATCAAAATTAGCAGTATAAACAATGTTTTTTCAAATTGTGAATTTGGAGAGGCACCAGAAGACATCTGGTGTGGCTGCCATGGGTGGCGACTACAGCAACACATCTTCTGTACATGGAGTGGACTAGCCGGTTGATGGAGGCCATTGGTATCTGGGCCAATATCCTCAGGAACGTTTCACACAGTTCTTCGGCATTTGGCACACTTTATTGAGTCGGTGTTGGATCTCATCCCACAAATGTTCAATTAGATTCAAATCTGGACTAAGAGCAGGCCAAGGCTGCTGGAGGAAGTCCATGGTGACTCTGGCAGTGTCTGGTCGGACATTGTCCTGCTGTAAGGTGTGGTTTCAGTGACGGGCAAAAAAACCCAAAATGTGGGGTCTGAGGACTTGGTCAATGTAGCGGAGAGCTGTGATTCCATTACCCCTGCCTGGACCAATATTCTGAAACACCACAGGCCCCATACTCTGGTTCAGTGCAATTCCAACCCAAACCATGATTCTTAGCCTGCCCCAAGAGTCCCGTCCTATGACACAAACATCAGCATTACATTCGCCCCTCCTGACTCTGCCTTCCACCGTGGAAACACAGTAATGACTTTCATCGTTGAAGATGATTCTTCTCCATTGCTTTTGACTCCAATTCTGATGCTGCCAGTTGGGCCTGTCGGTGATGATCTATCTGGATTGATCCATGTGCAGGACGGTAGCAGGAGATGTTGTTAGCAGTGAGGCGACTGTGCGATCACAGATGGAAAATTCGTGGTTGCCAATGGTCTGCCGACCTTTTTCAGTGGCCATTCAAAATAGGTTCTGCAGATGTTGGCGTATCATGTACCGATTTTGTCTGTGTGTGGTAACTCTTGGATGTTACAAGAGATGTATCGTTGACATTTAATGCATTTGCGACAACCTTTGCACTCTGTCCTGCTTGCAGTCTTCAGATCACTTGTCTCTCATTTCCGGATAATCTCGGCATGGCTGATAAATCCAAATGACGAATGTAAGCCTGATGGTTTTGATTGTCTTTTATACCCATACCGTCCACAATATTCACGTGCATCATGATTTTGATGATTCAGAAACTGGGTCCCATTTCACTTTTGCATTAGGACAAACCACTCCATTTTAAACACAAATGTAGGCAACAAAAAGGACCAGTAGAATGTTAAATTAGTTGACTAAAAAACAGGGCAGAACTAAAGTCTGAGAGTCAGTTAATTTTTTCTAGTATTTTTAGAAGTGACATTTCTTTTGCCTTTCAGTATATTTCAATATTGATACTAACCCGAAAAATCTGAAGAAATGACTAAGTATCTTAAAATTTTATTTGAAAACACCTTCAAACACAACAGATCAATATTTCAAATATTATAGTTGCCATCAGGTTTCATTAAATAGTAAATCTCCCATCTGTGTGTCTCTGAATTACAATAAAAACGCATTTACTCATTGTAATTGATTTGATTTTTTTTTGTAGACAGTATTAAATTAACCGTAACCAATGAAGGATCAGATGAAACAGGAAGTCATGGAGACAGTGGTCATATTAGTGGTAATAATTCATTAGATAATACGCCGGAACATGGTGCCTCCAGACAAAGTCATTTATCAGTACCGTCATTACAACTGTCAACTACCAGTAATGATGTAATTATAGTCCTTAATATTTATTATGTTTTATGTCTATTTAAATGGTTTGTTGTGATTTTTGTCTGCAGTGTTGTGTATGCAATCAAAACAATTGGAGAGCAACTTATTGACTTCTTTTACAAGAGAAATGTGTTGTATACATATGTGTATAGGTATAGTTTTATATCATTTTGCAAAATGCCCTTTCCAGACATAAAATTATATATGGTATTGTGACAAATTATAATAATATATGGTATTGTGACAAATTATAATAATATATGTTATTGTGACAAATTATGATAATATATGTTATTGTGACAAATTATAATAATATATGTTATTGTGACTAATTATAATTAGTATTGTGACATATATATACTAGAGATATAGTCATCTGAAGCATGTAGGAAGAGACACTTGATCTAAAGATTTGTAAGAGAACTTAGTTACAGATCAATATACTCAATAATACACACTATATCTTGCCCTGTCCTTCAATATCTGAAATAAAATTTGTAGAAAGTGGGTATTGATAGTATAGATGAAGAAGATGAAAATATTGACTATCTTGTGGCCTCCCATAAATCTATGGGTTCTACACGCAGTCTCAATAGCAGGGGCTTGTCTTCTCTGTTTAGTGTAAGTTATTTAGGTGGTGGTAGTTACTAACAGAATCTGGTGGAAGGGTTTTTTTTTATAACATTTTAACATTTTTATACGCCCACATGAAATGGGGGGGCGTATATTGTCGTCACCCATATCCGTCCGTCGGTCCGTCCGTCCGTCCGTCCGCAATTGCTCGTAAACACTCTACAAGACACAATTCTTGACTGATTTTTACAAAACTTGGTGTGAGTGTTCATAATCACCCAAGGATGAACCCTATTGAAAATCAGAAGAATCGAAAAATATTTAGTATAAGTTATTGCCCTTGTTCTTGAAAACGCGTTCAATTTTTAGCTCGTAAACACTCTTGAAGGGATAATTCTTGACAGATTTTAACGAAACTTGGCACGAGTGTTGTTATTCGACCAAGGATGAACCCTATTGAAAATCAGAAGAATCAAAAAATATTTAGTAAGAGTTATTGCCCTTGTTCTTGAAAACGCGTTCAATTTTTAGCTCGTAAACACTCTAGAAGGCACAATTCTTGATGGATTTTGACGAAACTTGGCATGAGTGTTTGTTATCAATCAAGGATAAACCCTATTGAAAATCAGAAAAATAAAAAAATATTTAGTATGAGTTATTGTCCTTGTTCTTGAAAACGCGTTCAATTTTTAGAACGTAAACACTCAAGAAGGCACAATTCATGACGGATTTGGCCGAAACTTAGTGTTAGTGTTCGTAATCACCCAAGGATGAACCCTAATGAAAATAAGAAGAATCGAAAAATATTTAGAATGAGTTATTGCCCTTGTTCTTGATAACGCGTTCAATTTTTAGCTCATAATCATTCTGGAAGGCACAATTATTGAGGGATTTTGATGAAACTTGGATGAACCCTATTGAAAATCAGAAGAATTGAAGAATATTTAGTATGAGTTATTGCCCTTGTTCTTGAAAACGGTTTCAAATTTAGCTCTTAAACACTAAAAGACATGATTCTTGCCAGATTTTGACAAAACTCGGTTTTATTATTCGCTGAAGATTGAATATTTTCCTTCTAGAGTTTTCAAGAACTAAGGCAATAACTCATACTCAATATTATTCAGTATCGCCCTAAAGAGTTCAAAAGAAGTCTATGACTGAAGGTTGAATATTTCATACTGGTGATTGTTACTCTACTGCTAAATATTTTTATTCAAAATCAAAACTGCCAGTGGGCGTATATTACCTTGCCTGGCAAGCTATCTTTATTATTTGTATTAAAGACTAATTTAAAGGATATGAGCACCATTTTGGGTTGTTGATCTTAGTCTTCAATATTTGAATAGTCCACAGAAGTACTAGAAATTGTACGAAAGTCACAGAATTCCTTCAAAAAAATCTCAAACTAGGAAATGTTGTTTCTATATGGTAGTGTCTCAAAGTTAATTCTAGACACACATGGATTTGAAAGCTAAATTTCAACAGTGAAATGTGAACACTATTACTGATCAGCTTGGCTAAAAGAAATTCCCCTGGTCAAAAAAAAAGTCCCCCTCCCCCTTTTTTAATTTAGTGTTAATTAATTTTGATTTTAGCGGAAACTATTGTTATTGTAGTAGATGAATACTGAGTTGTCTATTTATTTGTTACCTTTTATATCCAAAATTTGGAACACTAACAACATTACTAACAAAACAAGATATGTAACTGACATTTCTTGTTTGAAAATAATTTTTGTTGACAGTTTTCGTTGAAATTTTAGGAAGGGAGGTGTATTTCTTTTTTAATGAAAACGTGCAAAAATTATATCTTTATTAATCCTTCATTATTGATATTCACATTCACCTTATAAAAAAAAATTAGCAAATTTCGATTTACCAACAAATTTGCCAAGTCAAAAGTAGATTATATAGTTATGTTCAAATTGAAACCCAATACAAATAACTAAATATTTCATGTCAAAAGTAGAGTGTTCTGGTGACCATGATGTAATTCCCAATTCTGAAATGCGCATGTCATTCTGCGTTGTGTATTGTAGGGTAGTCGAGAGAGTATATTAAGTATATATAGTGATGCAGGGGAGATAAACTATGGTAAAATACCGGTATCTGGAGAAGTGTTACTGGGTATAGATTATAACTATAAAACTGGTGCTCTAGAAATCTACGTTAAACAATGTAAAGATCTAGCTCCTGTTGATACCAAACGTAAACGTTCAGACCCGTAAGTAAATTATCAGTTTCCAATGGCCTGTGATAAGAGAGGAATTTCTTACCATTTATTTTTCTGATTCCTTTTTTTGGTTAATAGTTTTGTTTATTTGCTTTTTGATCTAATTTTCAGATACATCAAAACTTACCTACTGCCTGATAAAACCAGAGGTGGAAAGAGAAAAACTAAAATTAAGAAGCATACATTGAGTCCAGTTTTTGATGAAGTCTTGAGGGTGAGTGTTGTTATTTCCTTGGTCCATACATTAAAACATTAACTAAGCCGTATATCAAATCATGTGTGGAATTGGGGGAGGTATATAAAAATGTCGTAAAGTGTGCTACTGTTGAGAAAGATCAGGTATATATTGGATGAACTTGTGTTAACTGAAGATGTGGTTAGGAGTGAAAACATCCTGTTAACATTGATGAATTGATATGAATAATATTGATGACAGCTTTGTGTTATTTTATAAGGCCCTTGTAATATATCCTATGATATTCAGAGCCACATGTTCCTTTGTGTCTGATTACCTTAAATATGTATATTTACATGTCATTGTCATAATGCGATTCATTTTGCCTAATTCACAAGTTAAACTAATAATGAAATGGGTAATGATTGTTTTCAGTATACAATATCTAAAAGTGAAGTAGAAAATCGTATTTTATGGATAGCTGTCTGGAACAATGATAGATTTGGTCACAATGATTTTCTAGGGGAAGTAACTCTATCTTTAGACACCTATAAATTTGGTGATTCATCTCCCAAATGGTATCCTCTACAAGAAAGGGTAAGCTTTCCAATTTCAACTCATACTGCAAGCTTAGGACAAAGCTATACATTTAATAGGCTTCTCTACTATTATCTGACATTGAACTAAACTGTGCCTGTCTTATCTGACTGTAATATCATACCACAATGAATATACTGATGGCCTTTTTTTGTAGTATATTGTATGCCACAAGTGGTTTAACTTTATTGTGGCTAAATCAAATTCAACAGATCAGTTCAATTAGTCTTTGAATTAAAGGCAAAATAGAACAGATGTTGCTTAGGTTTTTGAAAATGAAATATTTTATGATTTTAGTTTGAAGAACCCCAGCTGGGATCATTAATGCCATATAAGGGAGATCTGATCATTTCACTACGCTACATTACACCAGACTTATTAGCTAAAGAATCTGCCAAAAAAACAAAAGTGAAGAAGAGTAAAACTGGAAAAGGAGCATTACATGTTATGGTGAAGGAAGCTAGAAATTTAACAGCTTTAAGGTCCAATGGTACATCAGACCCATTTTGTAAAGGGTACGGTATTTGCAGTATTCAATTTATTATTAACCTCATCCTATGAAATTTTCACAAACCTTCATATGATCCTATGTTGGTGTTGACACTCTTAAATTAATTTTCAATATTCAGGAAAATTGCCAATTGATATAACAGGCAATTTTTTACCTACACTGTTCATGTTCAATTCAAATGATCTTTTATTAAATATATTTAAGGTATTTATTGCCAGATAAACATAAATCAGGAAAACAGAAAACTCCTACTATAAAGAAGAATTGTAATCCAGTTTGGAATTATTTGTTTGTGTTTGAGGATATTGATAAAGAAGAATTATCAGAACGTAGTTTAGAATTAACCATCTGGGACCATGATACAATTTCTAGTAATGATTTCTTGGGAGGTATCAGATTTAATCTTGGTGCAGGTCAGTATTGTTTAAATTATAGTGTTGAATTTAGATAACTGATCTTAAGTTTGATGATTTTTGCTTAATTAATGGTAAAAGATCCAAATGCAAATAAATATCTCCTCATGGAGTAGATATGTCTATGAAGCCTATTGGATATTGATATTGGACACTGTTGTTAAAACATAGAATAAATTGTGTTCTAATTACAATAATTCCTGTCATTCTTATAATTAGATATCATCACCTTACTTTCTTCCATGGTGATAGCAATTGAGAGCCAACACTGCGCCGAATCTTACTGGCACAAACCGTCATATCATGTTGCCCATACCTTGTTTAAGTATGATGATGTCAATATTTATGCATCTGTCTTGTAGGAATATATGAAAATAAAGCTGTAGAATGGATGGATGGTCGAGGAGAAGAAATAGCTATTTGGCAATGTATGATAGACAGACCCAACACATGGATTGATGCTTGTGTTAATCTCAGAGCAACAATGGGGAAAAGCTCACCTAAAAAATGATCACACTGATATTCAGATGAAGCAGTTCAAAGCTTGTGTTCAGGATTGCTAACCTCTGTCAGATCTTTAAATCCATTAGAAATGATTGTGATTCTCAACATTTGAGTGAAAGCTATTTTCTATATTCTGAAAAAGAATGAAAAGAAAAGAGAATGTTTGGTTGAATAGTATAAAGATTTTGTTTTCCTTTGGGGTATATGTGAAAGTATTTGTAAGAGATTTTATGTTCCTAAATGACAATTTCCATTACCTTGAGGAGTTGTCAAGTATGATATGAAGGCTCTCTGCTTGAAGACTATACCTTCAGAGAATTTTTTTTCATCTTTCGTAAATCTGCTTTTGATGTAAGATTTAATATTTATAACACAATTACTATATATTATCCTTCGATATAAAGAAGATTTAAACTAAAATATATATACCTTTAAAGGGACAGCTGCTCCATTTTCTTGACCAATCACACTTTAGTCTCAGAAACAGGATTTTTTTTTAGCTAAGCCAATCAGTTCACCGTGGAAATTTGACCTTTCAAATCTATGTGTATCCAGAATCATCTGCAAGTGAATGTTAAAATGATGACTTGTCAATTATTGTTTTATAGAAAGACATATAGAAATAGAGAGTAAATTCCTAGTTAAATATTTCTGAAGACTATTTACATATATTCAAGATTAAAATCAAAACTCCTCCCCCCCCATAAAATGGCGCATCTTTCTCTTTAAAACAAAACTTTATAACTCCTAATAAAGTGTAGATTTATTTGTGACTTATATATGATATCTGGTGAATGCTTCAATTTAGGGTAATGTAATGTGATGAGGTCTTTTTAAAGTTACCAAGTGTTTTATTCAGTTCATAAATTTAGTCAAAGTGGTCAGTGATGTAGCCTACTTATTGAAAATTGAACATCCCATTAAGAGCTGATTTCTTATAGTTATTTAATTAGACTTATTGATCACGATTCATATAAGTAATTTTTAGAATCTAATCTTGAATCTTTAAGTTACTTTTATTTATGTTTATTATTATACGGTCCATATACTTTGTCTGGTTTGAGCAATATTTTCTAGAACCAAGTATCCTTATTGCACAATGCATAACCCAAATAGGTGTAGAAACCTAGAATGTACTAGTTCATTGAACTTGCTCATGTTATATGTCATTAAGAAGAACTCACTTTTGATGAATGCTTATCTCAGGCCTAACTGTGGAATATATACATTTGCTCATTTATTTAAATTTTTCATTGTTGATTTTATAAAGTTTTTTCTATTGACTGTGATAATACCCACCATAATTATATATCAGAAAATATTTGTGGACAGCATACTAACTGTTAATTTTTATACGTCCACATTTCCATATTGCCGTCGCCCCTGTCCGTCGGTCCATCAACATTTCTTGTGAACACAATAGAGACTACAGTTTTCAACTGATTTTAATGAAATTTGGTGTGATCATTTACATTGATGAGATCTTGGTCAACTTCAAATTTGATGAGATCTTTGTCAACAGTTTTTGAGTTATTGCTCTTGACTTAGGAAAAACGCATAAAAATTTGTTTGTGAACACAATAGAGACTACAGTTTTTAACTAATTTTACTAAATTTGGTGTGATCATTTATATTGATGAGATCTAGGTCAAATTCGAATTTGACGATTATTTGATGAACGGTTTTGAGTTTTAGCCCTTGACTTAGGAAAAATGGTCAAAATTTGTTTGTGAACACAATAGAGACTACAGTTTTCAACTGATATCAATGAAATTTGGTGTGATAATTGATATTGATGAGATCTTGGACAAGTTCGAATTTGATAATATTTCGATGAACGATCTTTGAGTTATTGCCCTTGACTTAGGAAAAACATGTCAAAATTTGTTTGTGAACGCATTAGAGACTACAGTTTTCAGTTGATTTTAATGAAACAAGGTGTGATCATGTATATTGATGAGATAATTTGATGTATTTGGGTTATTGATATTGATTTTTAAAAATTTGGTGGAATTTCTCAGTATAAATAAATGGCAGTAAATATATATATAATTGAATTCAAACTATTAAAATTTCTTTAATATGAGAAAATTCATACTGTAGTCACTAAAGACTGTTTTATCATTTCTGACAGCTGCCAGTTGGCGTATGTTACCTTGCCTGGCAAGCTATCTTGTAAGGTAACCATGATTGCAAAGCCCATATATTAATACTACCCAAGGTCACAAAATATAGTTTGTTATGAATTGATCAAAGTGCAATTTAAAAACCAAGAAAAACCATTGTTGTATATACCACACTATTGTATCAACTAAAGTACAATAGTTCACTTGAAGTTTATCTAGAAAATGAGAGTTGCTGTACTTGTGTATCAGTCACAAAATTCTTGTGCTTTGTAAAGGAACGTGTATCAAAAATTATTGATTGTAAATATCATAATGTATTACCTGATACAAAATAACCTAGCCACAGTGAAAATTGATAGAGAAAGATGTATTGTATTTGGAAATGTGTTGAAGAGACATTGAACAAATAGTAAATACATCATTACAAGATTTATGGTAATATTTGTTATAATACTCCCCTTTTCTTTTTCCTTAAATATGGTAGACCTGATACAAAAAAATATATTGTAGTTTATATCGATTATATTAAAGTAATGTCATATTATACTGTAAGGAGCTATGCTGCATAACCTTTTTTAGCCTAGGTAGATTAGACACAGATAGACAAATAATAACAATGATTAATCATATAGTGATCAGAGCAATTAAAACAAAAACACAAAAATGCAAATTATAACTCTAATGCAATTTAATTCTATTTTAATTTATCTATGAATGTTTCATTAAAATCCAGTTTGTAAATTTTGTGATATTGAATACTATGTTGGATGTATAGAATAGTTTGAGATTGGAACTTCTAAGGCAGACTTAATTCATAAACTCAAAAGTCCTTTCACAGCAAAGTTTGTTATTCCTTCAGTGCATGAACAGCCTATTGTAATCCTTTTTAAATGACATAGTCCATATTATTTCAATATTTTACATTAAAATGATCGCATGCTCACATTTAGAAGTAATGACTGATCTCTTTCAAGATGATTTTTAAAGCTCCAGTGTAAAGAATTTGGCCATAATGTACTTAAAGACCTATAGCTAAATAGGAATAATAGGCCCAATCTCAATCTTGATAGTATATGTTAAATTATTCATTATTATTTAAAAGCATAAACAAAAACATAAATAACATTATAAACTATTGATAAATGTTGTTTATATTTTCTATTTTCAAACCAAAATAAAGGTAGATGTGACTTTTGCAATGTCATTATCATCTTATTTGCTTCAAGTATTGTTCCAAAGTTGAGTTCCCTTCTATGATAACTGTAACTGAAAGTGATCAGCATTCAGAGCATGTTTCCACATTAATATGTGGGCTCTATGGTAGGCCAACTGTGTTCCTTAAAATTGATTAAATACAACCATTTTTTCAAAGAAATTTTTGTCCACTGGCTCACAGGATGGATTGGTCTAGGGAATATCAAAAATTACAATTACTGCAAGGCAATCAATTACATTAAGTTTCCATGCTTTGCAGGGTCCATTAAATATATGATGTCCACTATTATACCATTAAGTCTTAACCATACAGGTAATACAAGTAGTTCTTATTATATAATTTTATTCATTGTCTTACCTAGGCCTACACATAACTTATAAAGGTGCGCCATTTTGGGGGGTTAATTTGAGTCTTGAATATATATAAATAGTCTTCAGAAGTACTAGAACTTTTTAACTTTCAAACACAGATAATTCTGGACCCACATGGATTTGAAGGCTCATATTTCGACATTGAACTGTGAACAAATTTCTGTTTCAGACTTAGCCTAAGGTACATTTGTTAAAAAAAATGGTGCACATGTCTCTTTAAATCAAGGTAAAGCAAATGAAATAGTTCTAGTTTATAGCCCTCTAAAAATGCATATTAAGCTTTTTACATTTGAATATAAACTTGGAAGGAAATAAGACTTCTGTTGGGCATTATTAACCAGAGCCGTATATAGAGAGAGTCTGGCCAACTACGTCACAAGGCGCCATCTTGTTACCCTCTCTTAGCTACAAGGCGGCCGACGTTATCCCTCGTAAACGCTCTAGAATTTACAGTTTTTAACCGATTTTGATAAAATTTGGTATGTCTATACAAAAACACAAAAAGAAGACAAATTTTGAATTTTAGCACTTTCCAAATATTAACCACCGAAATATTAAACCTGTAATCTTCCATATTAAAATAGCTAGGGCCTAGCTGTATATTCTACAGCTATATGGAACAATAGGGGAGGCGAAAATAATTCAAGGAAGCGCTGCCCCACCCCACTCCCCACCCCTGTCTCTTTTACTTGTGGACCTGAACAGAAAAAGGCTCATTATTCAGTTTCAATCAGCACAATTTATTTTATGTCATGAAGGCATGAAAGTTATATCACACCACTCAATAATCATCATTTCAGCTTTGAAACCATTTTGCTTCAGCTGTCGGCTGTTGTCCTGGCGATCTGTTTCTCTTTGACTGTCGTCGAAGTGATTCTGGAAGAGAAACCAAAATTTACACAAGTGACTGGCCCAAAAGACTTAGTGTTCACATTATAGTCTAGACCCACAGTCTACATTGCCCTTCCATATTTTTCTGCGAATGTCAATAATGAAATAACATAAACAATGGTGGCGTTTCATTTGATCTCTAAAGGGGGTGGGGTAATACTGATAGGCATTTAGGAAATCAATGATATTGATAGGGAGAAGGGTGGTGGTGGGGGGGTTTTGGGTTGAAAATCAGGACCAGCACAAATATTAGGATTAGGAGCCATGGCCCCTTGCCTCACCGTACAAGCACCAATATGGCGCACACCTTTAAATTATACTGTTTGTTTTAGTGATTGGAAGTAAATAATAATAAATACTAAAAAAGTAAATAGTCTTAGAATTTCACATTTATAGAAAAACATAAATCGATCGATTATGTGCAGGCCTATCAGTATCAGAAATGTTGTTGACAGTGTCTCAGAAGCCATGGTGCATGCTCCTCGTCTAGGCCTAGGTTTAGATAGCCAGTGCGTGGAAAGAAACCCTCTCACAAAGTTTTCATATCTATTATATCCAGTTTTTAGACCTGAACATAACACGATTTGCAAAACCCCTGAAATCATCGAATGTACTTACATCGTATAGAAGAGAGTTGTCGTGGGGAGTCCAGTCGGATCGTTTGACCTTTACTTCCCATTCTCTGCGTCTCCTTTTATCCTTAGGGAACCTGTGCATCACTATACCTTCTCCAGATTTGACAGAGCATTTCTATGCCACACATCGAAACATTCTGTTGCCAGACAAGACCAGGAATTAGGCTTAAACAACGTAAAGAATACCCAGGCTCCTACGCCTAAACGTCGCGGGAAGGGTAACAATATGGCGGCCTTCAATCACGTGACCGCTCTGCGCCAATCATGGTTCAGCGCGGCGAGATCACAAGTTGGCCAGACTCTCTCTATATACGGCTCTGTTATTAACCAGTAAATGTAATTGTTGTCTGAAGCCAGTATCGGGAGAGGGTAACTCATTACAAATTTTCAGAATAAAGTACGAATAAGTCCGTCGTCAAAAACACATTCACTTTATAAAATGAGGCATGCATTTATGACAAGATTCATATCATGTTTACATACAACCTTTTACAGACCAAGTATCCTTGGTTATCAGGTAAGGATATAAGATAAGATGATAGATAAGAGACCAGTTCCCTTTCAGTGTAACCTGTATTCGTGCATATAATAAGGATTCAACAACTAATTTCGTCAAAAGTAAATTTTTCTTTATCATTATGTTTGAGATGTTTCCTCGGATATTCTATGAAATAATTAAACTTGGTTTGTTTCGATTTTCTTTATGAATCCCTCACTTTGACCCAAATTCGTGAGTAACCAACTCGACTACTTTTGTGTAAAATGCTATGTACTAAAAGACCTTTAGCTAAATAGGAAAAATAGGCCCAATCTCAATCTTTATAGGGAGCCGCGGTGGCTCAGTGAGTTAGACGCTTGCTCGCTAACCTGAAGGTCCAGGGTTCAATCCCGGCATAGGTCGAGATAATACCTTCGGATTTTTCAACCCGGTTTACCCCTGTCAGTGATGCAGGTAAGAGGGGCTGACATGGAAAAAGCGTCTAGTTATTTGGATGGGACAATAAACCGCGGCCTCGTGTGCTACAGGCTGCGCACGTTAAAGATCCCTCGACAGTATAATGTTTATGGGTGGATCTTGGTGATGTGTAAAAGATATATATAGTTTAACTACATTTTAATCATAAAATTGGACAGCGTGCATCTTAGTTATGGGCGCAGCCATATTCAATTAAGGGACATAACTCTCAATACATAAAATGATCAGAGGAGTCCGAAACACTGGACACTACATCCCTTCCCCCTTTAGATAAAAGAACATTGTCACTGGTTACATAATAGCACTGAAAGTTATTTGTGTTCTTTTCAAGTTAAAATAAAATTAAAAATGGATAACTGTCCACTTGATTAGATTTAAAATATTACGCATTATTTAGCACATTGATTAAATATAATGTTACTCAAATCACAGTTCAGATTAATTGACTAGAAAATAATTAAAATTGCCCTAAACATAGTCATTTAGATAACAGGGTCTATTACGATGTCTTCTTGGGTTTCTTCTCATTGGTTGTGGAATTACTGGATTTGGTCGTTGAGCATAACTATCATCCTCGATGTCATCTTCAGAATCGGATGTTGCTTTATTGAGCTGATTTGACGTAGTTGGTACTCTTTTTAGTAACGAGCTGTTTCTTGCATAAACTTTACCATTAGGTCGTTTCAGTGTAATCATAGATCCTTTAACATCTAATACAACGGATGGTTCAGCACTAAAAGGTGTAGACAATTTATTGACTTTATTCTGTTTCACTAATACCAAGTCTCCTTGCATGAGATCAGATGATTTGGCATGGAACTTTTGATCTGCATATGATTTCATCTTACATTTGGCAGCTTTATCGTTTATTCTAGCCAATTTCTGGTGGTTGTCTTCACTTGGTGTTTCTAATGAATTTTCTGGAAGTTTGGTTTTGATTTGATGATTAAACAACAGTTGAGCTGGTGATACACCGGTTGTAGAATGTGGCGTTGCTCTATAGTTGAGTAAAATTTGATTAAGATCTCTCTTCCATTCTCCCCTTTCAACAAAAGATGAACGAATGTACTTTTCGATCGTGCGCATAAACCTTTCAGCTTCACCATTTGCCTTAGGCCAGTAAGGAGTGACACGTGCATGATGAAAACCAACAGTTTTAGCATATGATTGAAAATCTGCACCATTTAATGGGGGTCCATTATCAGATTTAAGTTCGTGAACAATTCCATGTTTTGGTGAGGTTCCAGTGTTTGCTGATTGACAAGGTATACAATGATTGATGAGTGATTCTGTATCTCGATTAATGTTAGGATACCATACTTTTTCTCGAAGTAATCGTTTGGTTTTAACAACTCCTTGATGACCTTCGTGAGCTATTTTGAGACAATTATCACGTAGAGATTCTGGTATTACCAATTTTGAATTTCTGAGGACAACTGATGAAACAACCGATAACTGGTTTCTGACGTTGTAGAATGGTTTAATGTCAGGATCAGCCTTATTCCAGATATTGGTGTTGATAGATTGAATCAATTTCTGCATAGCTGGATCCGTCGATGTAGCTTCTCGGATCATCTCTAAAGTCATAGATTTTGGTACAGCATTATTAGCTATATAATTAACATATTCTTCTAGTCTCTATCAAAATTTGTTTGGCAGGGTTGAGGGTGTCTCGATAAGAAATCAGCAGGATTGTTAGCTCCTGGTTGATATTCGACTAGTAAGTTGTATGGTTGCAAACGTAGTAACCAACGTTCAATTCTTGCTGTAGGTTTGGAAAGTGGTTTATTAAAAATCCCCTCTAATGGTTTGTGGTCCGTGATGATGATGAAATCTTTTCCATAGACATACAGATGATAACGTTCTGCAGACCAAACTATCGCAAGTGCTTCACGATCTATCTGGGAGTATCTTCTTTCAACATCAGATAGGCTTCTGCTAGCATAAGATATGACGAAGCGATGATCATCTGCATCAACTTGGGTAAGTATTGCTCCAAGTCCTACAGGACTAGCATCTACAAAGATCTCTGTTTTTCTTGCAGGATCAAAGTACGATATAACTGTCTCGACTGATAGACTATCCTTGAAATTTTGGAAAGCTGTTTGATGTTCTTCAGTCCATGACCATTTGATTCCCTTTTTAGTTAATTCTCGGAGAGGGTCGGTGATGTCGAATGAATCGGGCTATATAGTTTGTCAATCCTAATAAGCTTCTAACAGCAGCAACACCTTGTGGAACAGGTGCTTCTTTGACTGCAGCAACTTTAGCAGGGTCTGGAGATATACCCTGAGACGAGAATGTAAATCCGAAAAATTCAAGTTTGTGTTGGTTGAACAAACATTTGTCGAGATTTAGTTTAAGATTCTTTTCACGTAGGCGTTGAAATACCATATGAAGAGATTGGTTTTGGTCAGTGTCTGATTTACCATAGACAATTATATCGTCGGAGATGTTCTTTACACCTGGTATGCCTGTCAAAACTTGCTGGATTATGTACTGGAATATCTCAGATGCAGAAGATAAGCCAAACAATAGTCTTTTGTACCTTCTTAAACCAAGGTGGGTTGCAAATGTTGTAAGGTAGCGTGATGATGGGGCTAACTCAATTTGATGATAACCTTGAAAGAGTCCAGTTTTGAAAATGTTGTGGATCCATTAAGGTCATGTATGATTTCATCTAAGGTTGGTGTTGGGTGACGTTGTCTGGTAACAGCTGTGTTGGCTGCTCTCATATCAACACATATTCTGACTGTGTTATTCCGTTTCGGTACGATTACAATGGGCGATACCCACGGTGTCGGTCCAGATACTTCCTCGATGATGTCAGAGTCTTGAAGTTTTTGAAGTTCAGCCTCAACTAATTTTCTTGTATGGAAAGGAATGCGTCTCGCAGGTTGAGCAATAGGTTTAACTGTTTCGTCTATGTGGATTTGGAATTGGTAGTCTTTTAGTTTGCCTAATCCTTGGAAAACATCTTTAAATTCAGATATTAAAGTCTCAGACTTTGGTAGATCAGATGATATTGTAGAATTTACTTGATGTATTTGAACTAGATCAAGTTCTAAACAAGACTTGTACCCAATAAGAGTGCTTGCTTTCTGGTCTGTGACATAAAATAGTGCCGTACATTGCTTGATTGGAGTTTCTATAGTAGCATCAAATACTCCTAGGATTGGTAGAGGAATTGTTGAACCATACACGTAGATCTTAGATTTTGGTGTTCTCAACTCTAACGCTTTATGCTTGATGATTTTCTGATATGTTTCCTTGTCGACGATATTGACTGATGCTCCAGTGTCGATGATAACAGGAATGGTTACACCAGCAATGGTTAGATTAGTAAGCGGTTGCTTGCTGTTGGTTGGTGAGTCGACTGTGAAAATATATTCATCGTCAGAAGATGATTGACTGTCATGAATAAGATTGATTGATTTAGGTTTGGATCCTCCATTATTGGATTTCGACTTTGATTGGTTATATCGATTGGTTGGTTTAGCAAAAGTCTTGGTATTCGTTGATGTGGTCGATCGACCTCCTCCTCTACAAACTCTTGCAAAATGATTTAACCTTCCACAATTAGAACAGGTTTCCCCTTTTGCTGGACATGGTTTGTCTACATGGGGCCAAAATCCACCACATAAGCCACAGGTTTGGTTTTGGCCGATTAGATTTGGGATGGTTGTGAGGTTTAGAATTCTTGGTTCCACCTGATGACATATAGTTGACAGATACTGATTTTGTGGTACCGGTACGTGACGAATGATCCATTTGGTTAGTTTGACTCGCAGCGGATTCCATAGCTTGTGAAATATCTATGATATTGTCGAGTTTAAGATCCTTCTCTCTGAGTAGACGCCGTTTAAGTCTTGAAGACGAGCATTTCTCGACTACTTGATCAGCAATGGCATCATTAACATCAGGAAAATCACAAGTAGCTGATAGTGATCGAAGGCGAGTTACGAACTGACTGATTGATTCACTTGAATTCTGACTTGCTTGTTTGAAAATATATCTTTCGAATCTGATGTTTTTCTTTGGTTCAAAATATTCTTTCAATTTATCAGATGCCGTTTTAAAATCTTCGCCAGTATCAGATAAACCATCGAAAACTTCTTGAACTGATTCACCTGCAAGGTGTAGAAGTAATGCACGTTTTTGTTTATCATCCCTAACACCCAAAGCCAGGATGTATACATCAAATCGGTCACGCCATTTCTTCCATCTGGTTGCCAATGAGCTATGGTCGGAGTCTGCTTGAAATTTTGGAATTTAACATTTGAGCCATGGTAGATGATATTTATGTGACCATTACTTAACCTCGATGCCAAATATAATGTTTATGGGAGGATCTTGGGGATGTGTAAAAGATATATATAGTTTAACTACATTTTAATCATAAAATTGGACAGGGTGCATCTTAGTTATGGGCGCAGCCATATTCAATTAAGGGACATAACTCTCAATACATAAAATGATCAGAGGAGTCTGAAACACTGGACACTACAGACAGTTGGAAATCGAAAAAGAGAAGGCTAATGCCGCTGTCCTGGCAAAATGTCCCTCATGGCACCCTGCATGGCGTTGCCCGTCTTCATTAGCCCACAAGGTGCAGAAGAGTAGGACGTAAAACTCCATTCATTTCATTTCATTTCTCAATCTTTATAGTATATGTTAAATTATTCATTATTATTTCAAAGCATAAACAAAAACTTTAATAAATTTAATTCATAAACTCAAAAGTCCTTTCACAGCAAAGTTTGTTATTCCTTCAGTGCATGAACAGCCTATTGTAATCCTTTTTAAATGACATAGTCCATATTATTTCAATATTTTACATTAAAATGATCGCAGGCTCACATTTAGAAGTAATGACTGATCTCTTTCAAGATGATTTTTAAAGCTCCAGTGTAAAGAATTTGGCCATAATGTACTTAAAGACCTATAGCTAAATAGGAATAATAGGCTCAATCTTGATAGTATATGTTAAATTATTCATTATTAACTATTACTAACTATTGATAAATGTTGTTTATATTTTCTATTTTCATACAAAATCAAGGTAGACATGACTGTTGCAATGTCATTATCATCTTATTTGCTTTAATTATTTTTCCAAAGTTGAGCTCTGCAAGGCAATCAATTACATTAGTTCCCATGCTTTGCAGGGTCCATTAGGTATATGATGTCCACTATTATACCATTAAGTCTTAACTTTGATCTATAAATAAGTCGAGAAAAACACCATGTATTGATACCCATTGGTACAATTAATATTTATCTTTAATAATATTTCATTTTATTCTAATGGCAATTAATCAAAGAACAATGATTTAAAAAAATATATCTGACAAAATAAGATATGTAAAACGTAAGAGCGATTTATTGCTAAAAGTCATTGTAGCAACATAATATGGCCCACACTGTGTTCCACAGCAGTTTTCTAATGACACGGAATCCGCTAGTTTATCACATGACTTTGTTCACTAGAATATATTCTAGCAGACGACACTCGGATTCCGTGGGCCATATTCTTATGTCGTTTCAATGACTTTTCGCAACTCTTATGTTTTACTTATCTTAATTTGTCTGTCACTATTTTTTTTTAAATCATTGTTCTTTTAAGGAATAGTCATCAGTTATAATGAAATATTGTTAAAGATAAATACTAAGAAATGGTAATTATACAACTGGGTATCCACACAACGGGTTTTTCTCGATTTATTTATAGATCGAAAATAGGTGATGGAGTTTGCAGCCATTGTCAAGTTGGTTGCTCATGAAATATGGGTCTATGTGAAGGATTCATAAAGAAAATCGAAACAAACCAATTTTAATTATTTTGTAGAATATCTGAGGAAACATCGAAGACATAAACAAAATATTTTAACTTTTTTAATTTTGACAAAATTCGATGTTGAATGCTTATATGCACAAATATAAGTTACACCACTGTATATAATGTTAGAAATAAATAATAAATTTGGTGTGGCTTTGAAACAGCAAGAAAATTTCTGCTAGCTGATATTGTACAGACAACTCATGTTTATCAAAACAAGCAAATGCAAAGGTCACGTGAGGTTTCGCATGTGAATTATTAATCATTTCCAGAGATGCACAAAAAATAGGTTTTCATAGCACACCCTGACCACTATTTTTTTAGTCTCGAAACGATGTCAGTTCTCAAATGTATTGTGATTTATTTGTTGGTTGGTTTCTTTTAGGCTTATACACATAGAGTCTACTCTGTAAAATCTGATTTATTTTCTCTGGAAGACAAGTTCTCAGAAAAAGACAAAAATAAGATATTAGCTCATTTAAACCAGAAGACAGAGAAACAACTAGTAATAAACTTTGCTATTAACGAATTTCTAGCAAAATCAATTATTAAACATCACAAGATATCTGGTGAATTTAAAACACTATCAGACACCCTGAATGTGCATGGAATTGGAATAGATCTTCTACATGTAATTTGCGAGAAGATATTAACAGCTGATAAAACAGAATCAACATTTTTTCCAAAATTAAAAGATGAAGAATTAACTGTGAGTTGACTTCATATTTTTATGACTTTAAATCATCCATTTTGAATTCTATTTATGATGCTTAGGTAGATTTCATATTTTCATTCAAGCCAAACATTATTAAATTTTCCCAACATTTTTATAAGCCTACATTAGAGTATCAACATATATTGTTGTCACCACATTACAAACTTTTTTTTTCACCCGGACTTATTCAAACTCTTGTCTTGGGAACACGATTAAGTACATTTTGTATCTGAGCCTTTTATGCCAGTATGTAATGACAAGATCTTGACCGATTGGTAAATGGGTTAGCCTTTTAGGTTATACGCCCACATGGAAATGTGGTTGCCCATATGGAATGTCCATCCACTTTTCTGTAAGCATTAGAGACAACAGGTTTCATCCGAATTAATGAAGTTTGGTATAATGATTTATATTTATTAGATCTTTTGACTTTTTGATGAAGTTTTTGAGTAATTGCTCTTGACTTGAGTACAATACAGACCAACGTTTTCATCCGATTAAAATGAAATTTGGTGTTTATAATAATGAGATCTTTAGAAAAACATGTCAAAATTTGTTTTGGTATTGGTTTAAAAAGATTTTGTGGAAAAATATAAGCTTATATAATAAACAACTACAATTAATGTATTATGAAGATCTTTAAAATAATAAAATTCATATTTAATTCACTAAAGACTGGTATATTTCTGAAAGCTGCCCTTGGCTTTTAATAGATATAAATGCAAACTGGATAGTCCCCTTTTTGCAATTGATATGTGTGTAAAATAAAATAAGAAAATAGAGTTTTTCGTCCTTTTTTTCTGCTTCAAATTTGGACGTTTCAGTTAGCATTATAGTCAGTGATTATCTTAAAATTATCTTTTTACTTAATTGTAGACTAAATAAATGTAAAGGATTGTATTCTTAAAATGTACATGAAACAAAATCTATATGATGATTTTTACCTCTTATATTTACAGAAAGTTAACTTAATAGCTGTATTTGATATAGATATTGGAGGAGTGGGTTGGACATTATTAGATAGAAAATTAAATGTGATAGAGTGGAATAACCTACAGTTATTTGGTACACAACAATTTTCTCATTATGGTTTTAAGAAAAAGGTGACATTCACATAATTTCTTAAAAAATAAGTTACAAGCTGAAGTCTGTGGCCCAATTGAACAAATTGAACAAATTGATGTATAAGCTTAATCTCTTACATTCAATTCCCAGAGTGCAGGGAAATTCAGGTGTACTGGTACAAAAATAGGACAAACTCAAGAAAATGCCTCTGTCTTGCCCTGACATAAATACTACCACCAGCAAAATGACAGCCAGTTGCACACAATGGATGTATTTGCAGAACATTAAGTAATATATAGTTGCAGAAAATTGAGAATTGATTCTTTTATGGAACTATTTTACTGAGACAATGTATGAGTACTTGCTTTGAATGTTGTCGTGTATAAAATGGTTGAGTCTTATTTTTCTTTTTAGTTGGAAGAAATGAAAGAGTGTTTACCAGTAGCTGATTTATATCTTTTGGAAAAAACTGTTATTCGCCCATCAAAACAATATCTTAACCGCGCATTGGCTATGACAACAGTAGAAACAATGTTATTGACACTGTTGTATTCATTAGACTATAATGTAGTTAGATGTAAACAAAACACAATGGGGCGGTTTTTCAATTTAATTGTTGGCAATGAACAGACAAGTGGTTTATTTCTAATGAACCAGATATTAAAAGGAGAATCTGAACATAGATGTAGGATCTCATCAACACCAAGGAAATATTTTATGTCATTGTCAAAATTTGATCAAAATAGGTTGACTAATAGTTTATTATTAGGTCTGACTTATCATTATTTACATATATCAAACTCTCATAAACAAAGTGAAATTAGTGATGAATATAGTATTGAAAGGGAAGAGTCAGTAGATTTCTCCAATAAGGATTGTAATGTTTCCGACGATGAACCCAACACCACAGTACTCAGACTAGGTGAAAAACTTAAAGAAATGCAGGAAGAAGCATTAGAGAAAATGTCACAAGCCAAACAAAAGAAACCTTCAAAAGATGCTTTGAGCAAACAGGGAACTTCTTTGGACAAGAAAATAAATGCTACTGAAGTGAAAAAACCTTCAAAGAGATCTAGTTTTGATCCAGGGTATATAATGTCCAAATAAAATTTTAATTTCAATTTCTGATTCTCTTGATATACCCCTCCCGCATGTGTAATCAAAGGACAATTTTTTTTAAACAATGTTCTACTTTGTCTGCCTTAATCAAAATACACATATTTCCCGGTAACTACAAACTGATTCCAATGGAAAGTCTTTGTATGAAAATATATTGATGACTCAGGAAATTATTATTAAATCTATCAGTTTTGACAGATTATTAACATCAACACACTTCAATTAATAGACATTGTTACTATGTATATTCCACAACTTGCATACAAAATTTATATAGATGTCAGCAACCATTTTGTTTATTATCCACAACATTATCTCTATATCCTAGTTTCCACCATTCTTCTTTTGTCATTAAATTCCTATAAAAAACAGTATTTTGGGGGATTACTTGTCCTTGCATGAACTATGTTTTCATATGCATCCACTGACACCACACTAATAAGATACTTGGTATAGCGCTCATTACTGCTCCAACGTGAGCATTCAACTTTACAAACACATATATATCTACAAAAGTCAATATCTATACAAATACATACTCGCACACACCCTCTCCCTCACACTTGTTTTAGGTAAAGGTTCTTATAAAAGGTGTCTTTTAAAATGAGTCAACAGATTTACAAGTTTTTAACTATTCAGGTAACTTGTTCTATAACTGTGGTCCTACTACACAGAATGACATATCAGCAAATGTTTTATACTTTGTTTTTGGTACACAAAGATTAAGACAAGTAGAAGATCTTGTACAATACAGATTAATATCTAGATTTAAGAGATCAATAAATATTTTGGAGCCAAATAATTTAAACATTTGTACACAAATGGACGTGTATAGCTCCTTTAACGCCTCTGTGGTGCTGGCATATTTTAGTAGACCCAGGATCAATTTAACAGCCATATTTTGCACTTGTTGAATGGTCGTTCGATACTTCGAGGTAGATTAATACAGAGACTAGAAAGTAGTAATTTTAAAAAAAAAAAATACAGTACAATATATCTTGCCATTGTAAATAATTTGATTGACTATTATTTTGTTATACTTACTTATCCATTCGACATTGTAAATAAGCCTTAGAAGCATGTCTACATTCTCCATGATTACTATCATGCTGCTCTAAACATTTCATGAACTTTTTGATTTCTTCTTTACATTCTCCTGAAAATGATATTAATCTGGCAAAAGTTGGAATGATTGTAGCATTCTAAATTTTTTTTGTACATTAGGAACACTATCAACACTGATAGTATTGATTTGCCCATTTCAATTTTCAATCTGATGTCTGTGTGTCTCTAACTTCCAATAAAACTAATAGTCCATACACATTTCAATGCACTTTTTTTTACACTAAAAATACCACTTTCATACCCGTACAAAAATCGAATTTCTAAATTTGTTAGAAATGAAGTCGGGGTACAAATCATTTTTCTAGGACAAATGCTCCAACTGGCAATGAAAACAGAATACATGTACATTGTTTCTGTAGTAAGCAATTATTCAGAAAGTAATTCATATATTTCTGTTACCTTCATGATCTAGGGGAAAACTGCCTTTTAGTGGTGGTCTTTGTTTCACTCGTGGCTGATTTATTGCCATAACACTTTTGGGAAAAATTAAAAAGAAATTTTTCCTCGAAACATGAACGCTACTTTTATTTTAGGTAATGTTTCCTAACATTGTCATTGGCTATTCTATTTTTAACAGCCAATCAAATACTTAAGAAAAGATAACTCTGATTAACTATTTTCTCATGGAGGAAAACTTAAAAAGACGACAAAATTGGTACAGGTAAGGGTCCGGCATCCCTTTGTCGTAGGGTAAATATACAATTTCATTAGGAGAACAGTGCTCAGATATTTTTGATAAGAGTAGATTAAAGATTAAATTGAATACTTACACAACAGTGTAATTCATTCAATCTAATAACATGAAAATTAGAAAATGTAGATCTGGCTTCGACTTCGAATTTTTATGCTATGATTATATCTATGAATCTGATGGAGTTCTATCCTATCTTCGCCTAATGACAACCTTGATCGTAGGCTAGAAGCGGAGTTCACCGAACTCTTGTCCTAATGGTAGGTCAACAAGTATGTCTATTAGTGTTCTAGGCAAAATATATACCCAACTCTGTGTTTGACTTAAACTAAAGTGAGATTAGAATAGGCTTACAGTACTTAGCAAAATCTGCACATTGCGAAACGAAATATCAGCACTTTGCGAAATCAGCATATTTTTTTTGCAAAGTGCAGAAATCAGATGAGAGTTAAACAGTAAAACGATATGTATGTACGTGTTTACCTTCAATTTTCAGTAGCCTTTCGTCATCATCTTTGTAGTGAAATACTAATATATCAGTGTTGAATAATCGTTCCATCCACTCTATCTAGCAAGTATCCAGTTTTGATATTTTTGGTTTCCAAGGGTTATTTGACTCTGTGATTTCAATCTGATGTATTTGCCCCAATGATCATGCTTAAATTGGCTTGGCTTTGCAAGTCCTGCAGTCCCTATACAAATAAACTTAAACTTCGTTAGGAAATTACATTTGTGGGTGTCTCTTTCTCAAAATTTTCTAGACTCGATCCCTCAGACCCTATACAATTAATCTTGAACCTTGAATTAGGTGGAAAATAACAGGAATTTCCGTTTTCAGGCAACAGATTCTCAAAATTTTCTTCTGTTGGCCCTGCAGTCCCTATACAAATAAACCCCAAACAGGAAATTGCGTTAACAGGCGTCTAGACTAGATCCCTCAGACACTATAAACATAGGCTTGCGGCAAGTCTCACAAGCGTTTACGCCCACCATATGCCTTGATAAAGAGTTAAATGTGAACTGTAAAACGAACGCGATATCAAGAGTTTTATGAACGCGATATTAGAGTTTTATGCCATAAAAATATTCGCATCATCACCAAATTCAATAGTGCACATCTTCATAATTATATTGACACACATACAAAAGATCAAAAGAATCTATAGAGAATTATAGCCTGTAGAGTAGACAGAGGCAACCACAATATACACCCATACTTATGTGTGGGCGTATAAAAATAATCTTTAAACTCAAATTTGCTGGGAAATGTCAGGAATTTGGGTTTACAGACGTCTAATTCCCAAAATTTTCTTATTGTGGCCCTGCAGTTCCTATACAAATAAACGTTTCAGAAATACAATTTTTATACACCCACATGGAAATGTGGACGTATATTGCCGTTGCCCCAGTCCGTCCATCCGTCCGTTCACATTTCTTGTAGGCACGATAGAGACTACAGTTTTTATCCGGTCTTGGTGAAAATTGGTATGCATGTATATATTGATGAGATCTCGGATAAATTTGAAATTGGTAATAATCGGAAGAACGATTTCAGAGTTATTGCCCTTGAATTAGTAAAAATGCGTCAAATTTGACTTGTAGGCACGATAGAAACTAAAGTTTTTATCCCATCTTGATGAAACTTGGTATGCATGTATATATTGATGAGATCTCGGACAAGTTAGAAATCGGTAATAAACGGAAGAACGGTTTCAGAGTTATTGCCCTTGACTTAGTAAAAACGTGTCAAATTTGCCTTATAGGCACGATAGAGACTACAGTTTTAATCCGATCTTCATGAAACTTGGTTTGCTTGTATGGATTGATGAGATCTCAGTCAAGGTCAAAATTGGTAATAATCGGATGAATTGTTTCAGAGTTATTGCCCTTGACTTAGTAAAAATGGTCAAATTTGACTTGTAGGCAAGATAGAGACTACAGTTTTTATCCAATCTTCATAAAACATGGTATGCATGTATGTATTGATGAGATCTCAGTCAAGTTTGAAATTGGTAATAATCGGATGAATTGTTTCAGAGTTATTGCCCTTGACTTAGTAAAAACGCGTCAAATTTGACTTGTAGGCAAGATAGAGACTACAGTTTTTATCCAATCTTCATGAAACATGATATGCATGTATGTATTGATGAGATCTCAGTCAAGTTCGAAATTGGTAATAATCGGATGAATTGTTTCAGAGTTATTGCCCTTGTGTTTGTAAAAACACGTCAAATTTGGCTTGTAGGCATGATAGAGACTACAGTTTTTATCTGATCTTGATGAGACTAGATATTCATATAATATATTGATGAGATCTCAATCAAGTTAGAAATTGGTAATATTCGGATGATGAACAGTTTCAGAGTTATTGCAATTGTGTGCTCAGAGACATTATTCATGTTTGAATTTGATGATAATTTGATGAACTGACTTATAGATGATTTTAAGATTTATTTGAAAATTCATTATTAAGCCACTAAAGGTTATGTTATTATTTCTGACGAGCTATCTTCTAAATTTTTTATCTACAGGGATCCACAGACTTCAGAAAATCATATTTTCAGACTTCCAATTGGCATCCTTGAAGCAATAAACGTAGCAATAACTTAATAGAGGGAACCACTTCAAAGCATATCAATTCTTAAAGTTTTTCGAGGAGGGGAGGGAAGGGGTTACCTAAACTGCCACCCCCCTTCATTGCATGTTCGCTCCCTAAAAGTACTTGGCAAGCTACGGGACTGGCTTGAAAGAGAAGAGTGTCTTTAATGGACGTGTAGTAGGCATAATTTGGCATCAGAGAACATTTACGTTCTGATGCCAAATTGTGCCTATTTTACGTCCATTACAGACACTCTACTCAACCAAGCTTAGCCCTGGGTTTTTGATGGGGGGGGAACCTGCGTCCATGAAAGAAATAAAAATACAAGTTCAAAGTTTCGTGTGTGTCACCGTCATACGATATTCACAAGCCTGGTTTAAAGGTAAACACTGCCTGAATTGCGAAATAAATATTTCGCAAAGTGCTGATATTTCGTTTTGTTTCGTTTCACAAAGTGCAGATTTCTGTAAGCCATGAGAATAGTATTCTCAAAAAAATGCTCATTGTCTAAGACAAGTATAATTTCTTATGATATGATTTGAATGTGGAATGTAGGTTATTGAGGTATAAAGATGAAGTGGACTCCACCAGAGATAGATGATTATATTGATATCTTCTCAGTTGTGAAAGATAACAGAGAAACAGAGAGTGAGCAACATGATATCACTACTAAAACATACTGTCGAGGTGTAACCCTAACACAGATTGGTATACCACGTCTGCCTCACGGTATTAGAAGTAAAGATGTATCTTCAAATAAGGTGAATAATACAATGTTGAGATAAATTGGAAAAAGGACATATTCATCCATACTGTTAAAATTTTTGCGCATATATGCAATAATTTGTTACAGATTCTCAAGGTTTCCCTTAGTTTTTAAGCAGATCTGAGTTGATTAGGACATAATATTTTGAAATAAAACTAAATATCGGCACCCCAAAATTTAACTATAGATGTCAATTCTATTCAAATAGGCTATTAACTCTTCATTAATGGTAATGTTTTTTGATTTTTAACGTTGGTGACTTTGATTTAAGTTGTCTATCCACATAATAACAGTTAATCAAGCTGGTACAGATAATCCAGTAATATAAATCAATGCCAAAAGGTTTGACTTAAGAACAGCCGGTAGACAGGATCTGTGAGAATCTAAGTTGTTAATGCTTATATTTGTCTTTTTTACCGAAATATATACTAGTATTAAAAAACAATAATGTTATCTTATTTGTTTATAAGTTTGACCATTTTGTAGATTCACATGCAAGCAGCATTTAATGCATTACCTAAGAGTAGAGGCCGTGGGAGAGCCAAGATGTTAGAAGAAAGAGAGGATCACTTTATGAGGTTGAAGAAAGATTTTAATGATGCTATGAATTGTTTAGAGAATATTGATACCTCTTCTACCATAGATTCCATCTCCATTGATGTAGGTCTTATTTACTACTATTTATTTATTTCTCTATGGCCACAATATTATGTTGACATAAAATACAGTCACGCCTTGATATTATTACATCAATTAATACTTCATTAATATGTGACAGATTCCATCTGTAGGAATAGGGATGAAAATTTGATATGAAAATGTATAGATTATGTTTACCTGTAATAATTAATGATAGTCTTAAAGATGGTTTTCCGTGTTTTTTAGTGTCAAATTAAGCAAACTATTATTGAGTAATTGGTGTTTCTAATGAATTATCATGTATTCTTAATCATATCATTATGTTCTTATTGCATATAATTAATTAAAAGTTTAATAAATCATAAATGTCCTTGTATGTACAGTCTGGATAAACACAAAACGTCTTTTTGACCTTTCTTGATCGGTCACCCATTGGAACTTCGCTGGTAGTTCTCTTCCAATTTAGCTAATTATGAATTAATTATGGACATGTGAGACAAAGTCATTAGAACACTTCTACTCTTTATTTATACAAGATTTAGCATTCTTATATGGAAATGTGGATGTCGCCCCTGTCTGTCTGTCCGTTGGTCAGTCAATATTTCTTGTGAACACAATAGAGACTACAGTTTTCAACTGATTTTAAAGAAATTTGCTGTGATCATTTATATTGATGAGGTCTTGGTCAAGTTCGAATTAGATGGTCTTTCGATGAACGTTTTTTTGCCCATGACTTAGGAAAAATGCCTCAAAATTTGTTTGTGAACACATTAGAGACTACAGTTTTCAATTGATTTTAATGAAACATGGTGTGATCATGTATATTGATGAGATAATTAGATGTATTTGGGTTATTGATATTGAGTTTTTAAAATTTGGTGGAATTTCTCAGCATAAATAACTGGCAGTAAAGTATACTGTTTTATCATTTCTGACAGCCGCCAGTGGGCGTATGTTACCCATCTTTAAGTCTTTTTTTAATACGCCCACATGAAATGGGTGGCGTATTTTGCCGTCACATCTTTCCTTCCCTCGTTCCGTCGGTCCGTCCACAATTGCTCGTAAACACCCGTTATCGCTCAAGGATATACCCTATCGAAAATCAGAAAAATTGAAAAATATTTAGTATGAGTTATTGCCCTTGTTCATGAAAATGCATTCAATTTTAGCTTGTAAACACTCTAGAGGGCACAATTGTTGATGGATTTTGACGAAACTTGGTGTGAGTGTTTGTAATCACCCAAGGATAAATCCTATCGAAAATCAGAAAAATTGAAAAATATTTAGTATTAGTTATTGCCATTGTTCTTGAAAACGCGTTCAATTTTTAGTTCGTAAACACTCTAGAAGGCACAATTCTTGACAGATTTTGAGGAATCTTGGCATGAGTGTTGGTTATCACCAATGTATAAACCATATTGAAAATCAGAAAAATTGAAAAATATTTAGTATGGGTTATTGCCCTTGTTCTTGAAAATTCGTTCAATTTTAGCTTGTAAACACTCTAGAAGGGACAATTGGTGATGGATTTTGACGAAACTTGGTGTGAGTGTTTGTAATCACCCAAGGATAAATCCTATCGAAAATCAGAAAAATTGAAAAATATTTAGTATTAGTTATTGCCATTGTTCTTGAAAACGCGTTCAATTTTTAGTTCGTAAACACTCTAGAAGGCACAATTCTTGACAGATTTTGACAAATCTTGGCATGAATGTTGGTTATCACCAATGGATAAACTGTATTGAAAATCAGAAAAATTGAAAAATATTTAGTATGAGTTATTGCCCTTATTCTTGAAAACGCGTTCAATTCTAAGCTTGTAAACACTCCAGGCAGCACAATTCTTGACGGATTTTAACGAAATTTGGCTTGAGTGTTTGTTTTCACCCATGGATAAAGCCTATTGAAAATGAGAAAAATTGACAAAATATTTAGTATGAGTTATTGCCCTTGATCTTGAAACTCGTTCAATTTGTAGCTCATAAAAACTCTAGAAGGCATGATTCTTGCCGAATTTTGACAATACTTGCTTTTATTATTCATTACCGCGCTGAAGATTGAATATTTGTCTTCTAGAGTTTTCACGAGCTAAAGATTGAACACGTTTTCAAGAACTAAGGCAATAACTCATACTCAATATTATTCAGTATCGCCCTAAATAGTTCAAAAGAAGTGTATGACTAAAGGTTGAATATTTCATACTAGTGATACTGGACTGCCAAATATTTATGCTCAAAATCAAAGCTGCCAGTGGGCGTATATTACCTTGCCTGGCAAGCTATCTTTTAGATTAGGATTAAAGCATGAAATTATTTGACAAAATCTGCACCTTCTTCACTTGCCAACTTTGTTCAAAATATACATAGAAAGTGAAAGTATATTGTTAATATATATCATTTGATATTTATATTTTTACTATATTATAACTCAATGATAGACCCTATTTTGAGTTTATCAGCTTAGACCAGCTATTTATATTATTTCTTTTGTATTACAGGGTTGTTCAGAAACTAGTTCCATGTTTGGTGACTGTGAATTAAGTGATTCTGACGATGTTATTGGTCAATCAATATTGTTACCATCCCAAAGAAATATCAAACTACCAGAAAGACCATTTGTTAAACCAAATCATTATAATTTCAACTCTGTTGATGATTTTCCTCTGTTGGGTAGTCAGGATTCAGACGGATCGTCATCTTTCAAGGTAGCAGCTAATAAAAAGAAACCTGGTAAAAGAAAACCAAAAGAAGTTCAACGTTCATCGAAACAGTGGATAAAATCAGAACCTAATAAGAAAGGTGTCAAATCTAAGTTTGTTAATCATAATTCTAACCAGTCAAACATTGCAGATTTTGTGATCTCTGATAAAAAAAAGACTGTTAGTTCTTCCCGAAAGGGATTTCCAATTCCACGTAAAGGTGTTGAAACTACGAGGGCAAATTCTATGAAGTCAATAAACATTAATCCGGGTAGAACTGTGAATTTGAATTTTTCCATCGTTATGGAAAATGATGATCTTAATCCTGCAGTGGTAGCCAAAACTTTAAATTCTCACTCTGGAGTAGATAGCAGAGATCAACTGAACTGCAATTCTGATGGGAATATATGTCAAGAATATACACCTCATGACAGTTTTGATACCATTTCAACCAACTTAGACATTGTCTCTAATACTTTTGGTTCTTTCTCGCGCCCACACAGTTTAAATAAATTGGAAGACTTGGAAAATATTTCTCAAGCCTCTCAGGGTTTCCCTAGCATACCAAAATCAATATTGGATAGTTCTAAATGTGGTAAACAAAACTTAGTGGCAAAAGTGAAACCTACAGTGACTAGTACTCTCAATAATCTCAATTCTACAAATACTGGAGCTTGTGCTTTAGAAAATAGCCAAAAAAACACTCAGCCTACTAGTAATACTATGTTAGATTGGAAGATTACTGGTCCATGTGTGGTACAGTTAGAAGGAATTCCCATTGCTTGTGATATAGATATTCTTGATGACACTTTATGGAATTTTGGTCAGATTGAAGAAAGTCAAGTTCAGGTTATCGATGGCAAATATGCCGTAAGATATAGGTAGATTCCAGTTACATATTCTATCATATAGCCAAAACAATTATTGCTACATATATTCTATATATATAGAAAATGTAGTCATACCACAAATACCTAGGTATTGCCTTTTGTATAGTTTGTAGATTGACTTTCAAGCTGTAAACATATGGCTTGGCATTACATTTAGGTTAGTATATTTACAAATAGTGAAATTTAGAATTTATATGGTTATAAATGATTATTATATTTTAGATTCAGTACAGAAGATGCTTGTGAATGGGTTGTTTCATCTTTACATGATACAGACATGTTATATCCAGGTTTGTAATATATTTTTTATTACCTCCTGTGATATGCTAATTCGAACTGGAGTCAGTCAGTCAAGGCCTAACCAGGATTGGTTGAGAAAGTCTTTTTAGCCTGGTTTCTGCTAATTAAAGAGTGTTTGTTTAATAATAATCGGAGAAAACCACAATCATCCTTTTATAAAAGAGTGACATTAAATTTCATTGAACCCTATCGAAAATCAGAAAGGGAGAAAAATACTAGATCCACAGGCTTCACATGGTTCTGAAGCGGTGCTTAACAGTTTTGATATATACGCTTAAAACTGTGTGCAAAGTATTTTGTCACGAGACTTGTGTTTTGTTCTACAGAATATTTACATAATTTTAAAAACATACGCTCAACATGACGTCATATATTAATATTCCTTTACCTACTGTTTGTACAAATAACCTTTATCATTTAGACCACAAATGACTTACAAAAAGGACCTTGGCTCTTATCAAGATAAAATTCATCTATTTCAAATGGCAATGAAGTTAGAAGTAAACACCGTACGAAAAAAATGAATTGCCCATTGGATACATCTTGTCGAGAGCTATCAAAATTGTCATATGGTCACGATATACGACCCTTCAAATTTTTCATATTTTTCAACCAGAAATAAATACCAAATATAATGCGCATTTTTTTACCCCAAAATGGGCCCTAAGGGGTGCGCACTATACACAGTGAATTAAATTTTGAGTTTTTTCCCCCTTCGAAAATACCGTGAATCGATGTTGAGGATCCGCCATTTTGTCTTCTTTCATTGCCATGTTATGTTTATAAGATCGTTTTGAGAATATTTTGTATTAATATATTTGAAATTACTAAACTGAAATAGGTATATTAATGTGTTATTTTAACGCAATTAATTCCATAAAGACAGACACTCTATTGCGGTAACAAAATGTAATTTGATCACGCACGAAGTAATTTGTATGGCTCTTATAGTAAGAATAACAAATGTCATGCTGTCTGAAATTGTTGTCATGTATTGCATGAATTTGAATAGCTTACCACATATACAGGGTTTTAATATTATCCTTCGTTTTTCCCAAATTATTCATCACAATACACATGGCAAATGAGAAACAAATACCTATATAATTGTGCGGGAAAAAATTGAGGACAGTAGTAGATTTTTTGTAAATCTATTATTCACAGTAATCTAAAGCTACTTGAATAAACTTACTATAAGATTAAGTGACTAAAAACAACAAGATCCAGTTAATTTGTAACACCACTGATTAATTTTATGAGTACATTCTAAATGGAAACAAGGGGCATTGAGATCAAAGAAAGATCAAAGAATACTATAAACAACTGTTGTCCACATGATCAGTGAATGTTGAAATGGGTGGATCACAGGCACTTCTTTCGATCCATGATGTGTTCTTGCTTGATCTGGACCATATTATTTCATTGACGACATTTCGATGAGTATTGTAACCCTTCAACGCTTCACCATTTGAAGATAGAAATACAACACGTTTTTAACGGAATCATAATAAGGAAGAAGACAGACATAAAAAAAAAACAATATTTATTCAAGAATTACAAATATTACAATATACATATAGATAAACATTTGGTTTTGGAAACAAGCTTTAAAGCTTATATAAATCCATTACCATTCAAATATAGTTACAATACGATACAATACAAATTAGGGGAAAATTTACAAACTATTTACACTAAATGAGGTTCTCTCAACTGTATCAAGGTTGCAAGTAAATTTAATTGTATGGATGAAATACAGGTTTCGGTAATCGGCATGGCCCCACATATATCATTTTAAGGGCATATGAACACTAGAAAGATTCAAAGAGAGCTCTTTAAAAATAAAAATCATATTTTTCAATCAGTTATACAACTGGAAGTAAGCATTGGACAGCACATATGAGTATATCACTGGATACATATCATCAAGGGCAACACATTTTGTTCAGGCCACAAACTCACCAAAGGTCAAGGTCACGAAATAGGTGCCTTTGAAGTTTTGGCCATTACCGAAAAATTTTAACCAGAATATAAGAAGCAAAATCGAAATTAAAAAATCGGCTTCTAAATATCTTTTTGCAAAATCGATTGTGATATCCAGATAGACCAAAATTATGAAAAGCGCTCTTTCTCCTGAGGCCCAATTTTGGAATTTTACAAAAGTTTGACATTTGCATATGGTGGCTACTCTGTTACATCCTGGTCGGATTTGATGTTTTGAAGTTTTTTGTATGACCATTTGTAATGTATTACAAAAACAATTTTTGAAATATCTTAAAATTTCTGGAAGTTGAATGATAAATTTTAAGTGAATAGTATCAAAAGCGGAGGTGATATCGAAATTTCGAAAATTGTTTAAGTTCCCTCCTTAAGTTTGTAGAAGAAAAAAGGTTAAAAAAAAAAACTCAAAAAGTCAGCGACAAATGTCAAAATTGTCGATTTTTTCAATTGCTATGTCATTAGTGCGAAGTGATAAACAAAAAAGTTTGAGCAAATTCAGATCAGTATTTCTGCTGATAAATGGAAGAAATCGAAAAATAGCCATTGTCGAGGGCTTATTTCTGGTTGGTCAAAATGGTACCAATTTACATTAAACAAATTTGACTAGAAAACAGCATGTAGCCCTTTTAGAAAAACAAGTGAAGGTAAAATTCGAAAATAAAATAGTCATTTGCAAAATAAATATGAGTTGTTGCCCTTGTTCATGATAAATTCTTCCTACAAACAAACCATAGAATCTGCTCACTACGAGAAAGGTTTAATCTGTCAGTGTCATTAACAATTAAGCATGTACAAGTTTATGACCACCACATAGGCCACAGTTTTAAACACCAAGAATCATATTACAAATAACTACTTTTACAGACACAGGTCATATCTTTGCTAAAACTTAAACTACTCAAGTTTTTATCAACCAAAAGAATCTATTTTCATCAAATCTATCTCATAATAAGTCTTCCGACTTCTGCGATCTTTATTCAATGCAATGCTGTTACTGGTAAATGTATCATAATGAAAAGAGTCATTAGAAAAAAAATATAATAAATGGTTTGAAGATGATTTTTAATCGCTATTTCAGAAAATTATGCAATTTTCATCATTTCCAGTTAGTACTTCTGTAGACAATTTACATATTCAAAATCGAAAATAAATCACCCTCGAAAAATGGTGAATCTGTCCCTTTAAACTAAGTTATTTTGAAACAAGCTTACTAGGTAATGATTGAAAAACGCTTCTAAGCAATTATGGATTTATTGCATTATAGAGGGATTCTGTTGTATAGTTTTGACACTAGGTCAGTCTCCATATGAACAAAGACTTATGTTAGCCAAGTTTATAAATTTTTTGCTCATCCTAAGAGGTAGTATACTTTTAAATTATTTTAACTTTTTTTCAGATTCACAGTCTGTATTGGTTTGTTTTAAAGTGCAATAATGATTGTCACTGCACCAGGTAAAAACCACCTTGATAACGGTTGTGCTGGAATTACATATCTTCTTGCCACTGTGACCGCTTGATGTTTTCTTTGCACACATTATAATAAATATCAGATTTTGAGAAAAATTATTGAATAAACATGAAATGATAGTCATATGCATTGATACTATATTTTTCTATGCCCACATGGGGGCATATATATTGGCGTCACCAGATTCTTGTGAAACTTGATGTGGTGTTTGTAATCACCCAAGGATCCAAAGATGATCACTATTGAAAATCAGTAACATCTAAAAATATGTAGTGCGAGTTGTTGCCTTTATTTTTAGAAACGCGTTCAACTTGCATGTTCAATAATCTCAGGGTTGTGCTTAATGACTGTCCTTATACATTAAATGAAAAACAGAACCATTTTCCTGTTGGCAACAAGTTCAAAGTGTTTATCAGATTTTGATGAAACTTTATGCATATGTATGTTAATGAGTTCACAGACAGTTCCATTTCTATATTTTGATAGCTAAATCCAAAATACCAATAACTTGGTAACATTCAAGCTTAAGCATGTACATAGAAATGCCCAACAGAATTTCATAGACTTGCGACTCATCCAACTGAGCAGATGTTCTTACTTCATGTTGTAGGAGCCGCGGTGGCTCAGTGAGTTAGACACTTGCTCGCTAACCTGAAGGTCCAGGGTTCAATCCTTGCATAGATAATACCTGCGGATTTCTCAACCCGGTTTCCCCATGTCAGTGATTGCAGGTAAGAGGGGCTGACATGGAAAAAGCGTCTAGTCGTTCGGATGGGACAAAAAACCGAGGCCCTGTGTGCTACAGACTGTGTACGTTAAAGATCGCTCGACAGTTGGAAATCGAAAAAGAGCAGGCTAATGCCGCTGTCTTGGCAAAATTTCCTTCATTGCACCCTGCATGGCGTTGCCTGTCTTCATTAGCCCACATGGTACAGAAAAGTAGGACGTAAAACTCTATTCATTTCATTTTATTTCTTACTTCATGTTGTGTGGCTGCAAAAATGGACACTGTATAGGAAGCATATATGTAAGGGATGTTAGATAGATGAAATTGAGCACAAGGAACATTTCCTCCTTTGTTGTTCACTTTATGAAAAGGAACAGAATGGTTTACAATTGACCAGAAATCACAAGACATTATTATCGCTAGCGCAGGGCTCCCATGATGGTCTTAAGACAAATTGGTGGCGGTCATACAGTATGTATTTGTAGTAATCTGAACATGATGTTTATTCGTCCTAGTAAAAAATATGGTCACAAGATAATTTAGTCCTTGTTATAAGGTCACAAGGTAAGTATTGGTCTTAGAAAAATGTGATCAATTTCAGTTATAGTTTGTTTCTGCAATTATAATCACTTGGAAATTTATTTCTTTGTCACATTTTTTAACATTATGATGGCAATAAAGGCTGTCTTTGTGTTTGGTAGTTTATAGCTGCTCCTTATTAACTGGTAATTCAATAAGGTTACAACGTAAGATTTATGATAAAACAAGGTGCAAGTTAAAGGTAAAAGAGACATTTTTATACGCCCACATGAAATGGGGGGCGTGTATGCCTTCACCGATGTCCGTCTGTCCACAAATGCTCGTAAACACTCTAGAAGGCACAATTCTTGACGGATTTTGACAAAACTTGGTGTGAGTGTTTGTAATCACCCAAGGATGAACCCTATTGAAAATCAGAAGAATCAAAAAAATTTAGTATGTGTTATTGCATAACTTCTTGAGCAGCCTATGCTAGGTCTTCTTTGTTTTATATTTGCCTTTTTGATTTTTGAACATTTCTATATTATTTTAGATTTCGAATGGTTTAATTCAATTTGATGGTTTGATTATTATAAATGATTGATAAATGGTATTATTCTGTTAACCTCAATGATGTTACAGTGACCAATGACCATACGGAACCCTCTTTCTCACTTATATCTACCAATAAAAAAAGCTTATTGCCCAACCATAAAGTAGTACAGACGAGTAACTTAATTTCGTGCTAACCTATTTTTAGTGCATCTCCTGTAATGATTAATAATTTACATGTGTGACCTTGCATGACCTCCTTGTTTTGATACACATAGGTTATCTGTACAATGGCAGCTAGTAGAATGAATCCAGTAGTTTCAAGCAATGTAAAATGTATTAATGTATCCTTTGACAAATACAAAATGGCGGATTTCAGTTATTACCAAACGTCACCATTTTTTATCGGCCGAATTTCCTTATAATCCCCAGCTGTAATTGGAATTGTAGTCCAACGAATGAAGTCACGTGATCAACTAGCGGATTCCGTGTCAGCAGAAAAATTCTATGGATCACAATGTGGGCCATATTCTTATGTTGTTTCAGTCACTATTTTTTTTTTTAAATCATGGTTCTTTGAAGGAATTTTCATTAGTTATGATGAATTGATATTAAAGATAAATACTAAGAGAAGTTAATTATACCACCCGGTATCCATACAACGTGTTTTTCTCGACTTATTTATAGATCAAACATTGTACACGAAAATAGGTGACGTATTTAGCCGCTGTTTTCGAGTTGGTACACCACTGTATGAACATCTCCGCCTCAGTTCTCATTATCCCTCTATTAAAGGACAATTTGCCAAATTTGTAATTCTAATGAAATTGAGCACGAGGAACATTTCCTCATTTCCTCCTTCGTTGTTCACTTTATGAAAAGGACTGGAATGGTTTACAATTGTGCTTGAAAGGGGGGGGGAAACTGGGAAAGGGGCAAATTGTGAAGGGGCCCAAATAGGAAAGGGCAAAACGGAGAAGGGACAAAAATGGTATAATGTTGGGGCAAATTGGGAAGATACTTATTTATACAGCGGTGTAACCTATTTTCGTGGATATAACGATTCAACATCGAATTTCGTCAAAATTCAAAAAACAAAAAAAAAAATTTTATGTCTTAGAAGTTTCCTCAGATATTCTACAAAATAATTAAAATTGGTTTATTTCGATTTTCTTTATGAATCCTTCACTTTGACCCATATTTCATGAGCAACTAACTCGGCAAAGGCGGCAGAATGCGTCACCTATTTTCGTGTACAATGTTTGATCTATAAATTATAAGTCTAGAAAAACACGTATGGATACCGGGTGGTATAATTAACTAGTATTTATCTTTAATATCAATTCATTATAACTAGTGACAATTCCTTCAAAGAACCACGATTTAAAAAAAAGTGACTGACAAAATAAGATAAGTAGCGTGATTTATTGCTAAAAGTCACTGAAATAACATAAGAATATGGTCCACTTTGTGTTCCATAGAAATTTCTGCTGACATGGAATCCGCTAGTTGATCACGTGACTTCATTCGTTGGACTACATTCTAGCAGGAGACACTTGGAATTCCGATTACGGCTAGGGATTATAAGGAAATTCGGCTGATAAAAAATGGTGACGTTTGGTAATAACTGAAATCCGCCATTTTGTATTTGTCAAAGTATACATTAATATATTTTACCTTGCTTGAAACCACTGGATTCATTCTACTAGCTGATTTTGTAGAGAAAACCCATGTTTATCAAAACAAGCTAATGCGGAGGTCGTGCAAATTATTTATCATTTCCAGAAATCCACGAATAATAGGTTTCCACGAAATTAGGTTACTTGACTGTACAATAAAGTTTATGTTTTCAATTAAAACGACTGTGGCATCATTGTTTTTATTTCTCACTTATACAGTGGAGGATTGTACATTTAACAGAAACAGTAAACTTGATATTTAATACTTATTCACTATTATGTAGATTGTAATTACAAATCATTTGGAATAACCAACTACTTCCCAGAACAAACACTGATAACAACAAAAAAATCATTACACAGAATACTTCTAAAATACTGATATTTATACATATAGAATTAATTATTCAACTCGCAGGCTCATTACAAAATGTAGATACAAAAGTTAAGGAAGTCAAAGTTGATCTGTTATTAAGGAAAGATTGTCTTTTGGTCAGCCAGTGTTTACTAAAAAAAGGTTGGTAAATGTTTTTTTAAGCTGCATTCATTTAAGTCTACTTCTTATGTGAATAAAAACCTTCTCCAGTTTTCATACCAAGTTTACCCTCTGATACTAATTTATTGACCATTGCTGATGGTTGGAACAGGGGATTATCAGGATATTTCTCACACCAACCTGTAAAAAATAAAATTATTCTGTGGCCTCTTAACCTTTAACAATGAGAAATCCAAATAACTAGCCTAGTCTCTTTTAGCCAGTCCTAAGAATTCTCTTGTGCAACATGTGATGCTTTCATAAATTGTTAAGCCACTCACAAAAATTAACCAAATATACATATTGATCTAGTTTGTCTTTTGTTTCATGCTATCAATAATCATTTAACCATCACATCAGAGAAGCTCAGCAGAAAATATCGTTACTTACCATCAATAATAAATTTGACAGTATCCAAACCAACATAATCAGCTAATTCAAATGGTCCCATTGGATAGCCTGCACCTAGCTTCATGGCTGTATCAATATCTCTTGGGCTGGCATCACCTAAATTACATATGAATCAATATGGCTGTCTGATGGGAGAGAAAGATATGACACCAACTTTGTTTCACTCTTACATATAATTGAGCTCAACAGAAACTTACGCCCACATTTGTAATGGCAGCTAATTTGTCCGGGAGGTTGACAAGAGTTATCAGTAAATGAATGTTTCTGAAATTTTCAAATTTCATGGGCTATGTATACAGCTTTTTTATTCAAGCAGGATTAATTTAACATGTCAAGTTTCATTTAATCCATATAGAATTGAATCTTTTGAGTGGTGTCAAATCTTTGCGGACAGACAGACAAATCTTGACAGACAGCTCTCTATCGTGTCCACAAACAATTCAAGAACAAGGGCAATAACTCATAGTAAATATTTTTCAATTCGTCTGATTTTCAATAGGGTTCATCCAAGTTTCGCCAAAATCCATCTCTCTATCGTGTCAACAAACAATTGCAGACAGGCAGATACGCCTACATTAGTGTGTGATCATATAAAAAGGTTTTCTAGCTTTTATGTGTATTGGGGATACCTGGATTTGCAGGAACCGCAGTCAAAAAGAAGTCCCTGATACACATAAAAATACTAGAAAACCTCTTTAGATCCCTTTTACTCAATAATACAATGTTCGAAGAGTTGCATAAAAATTCTCAATTGAGTGGTGAAGCCTTCAATGAATTTGATTGTCAATTTTGTGATAAAAATAACACTTTACCTCTTTCCACCAGTCTTACAGATTCCATCATATAAGGTACTAATAATCTATTTACAATAAAACCGGGAGTGTCCTGCAAATGAAGTATACATAATACACAGTTTAAGAGTCAGAATGTCCTAAAAAGGCTTGAAAATGACAAAGATTCATCTCTCTATGTGTACATATATTGTTGGCACCCCCTGTCCGTCCGTCTGTCCGTCAACATTTGCTTGTAAACGTTCTAAAAACTAGATTTTTTTGATGGAATCAAATGAAATTCGGTATGTGTTTACATATTGATAAAATGAAGATCAAATTTGAATTTGAGCTATTTTCGACCGTTAGAAGCAGAGTTATTGCCCTTGCCCAAAAATCTTGAATATTTACCATACGCATGCCGTGGTGGGAGTATATGGCTGTGGTCCACTGTCTTTGTGAAAGCAATAAAATTTTGCACTCTTTTCACTCTAAAAAATAAATAATATTCTTACCTTGCATTCCACTGTGACTTTACCGTTCGCTTTACCAAATTCTACCAAAGATTTAAAAGTATCATCACTTGTATCTGGAATTCTTATAACCTGCAACAACCATTTATTATTTAACAAAGAACTCATAAGAATGACTCATTTATGATTGTAGAATCTGTATGATAGTAAAAGAAAAAATAGCTTGCAGGATAAGCTTGCATATTACCACTACCAGCTGTCAGAAATAATATAGTCTTTAGTGACTTTATAATGAATCTTAAAAAAATAATAATCTCAAAAATATTCGAGACAAAACCTCAAAATCAGTTTCATCAAAATATTATCATAAACCATTTATCAATTTCTCCACATTTCCATGTGAGCGTATAAAAATATCTGTTAAATCAAAGGTCACTTGGAATGCAATTACTGCATTTTTTTTTTACAATTCCTACAACTTTCAGAGTTGTCTGCTATCTTCCAGATTATTGAAGACAAACTACCTTCATAATAAATTGAGTGCTGTTGAACCTACTGTTATTATTTACCTACTGCATGTCTAAGTGAATGTATTTGGAAATTTTCGATAGTGAAATTTTCATTGTGATAAATACTCTTTTAATATAATTACCTCAACCAATTTCATCATTGGCACAGGGTTAAAATAATGTAAACCACCAAATCTATCTAGTCGTTTAGTTGAAGTGGCTATATCACTGATTGGTAAGGATGATGTATTACTGGCAAATATTGTATGTCTGAAATCAACACATGAAATAAAACATTCATAACATTTTGACTTGAGACATCCAGACTTGACTCAATAATGTTTGCTAAAATGAGCTTTGTAATTAGTCTGTGTTTGATATGTGTGAATCAATTTATCGATACGACAAGCCATGACACTCATATTCTATCACTAGGTTGTGTATCAGTACTTAATAATACATCTCATTTCATAAATGATAGTTTGCCATGCAAGGTAGCATACGCCCACTGGCAGCTTTCAGAAATGAAGATACAGTCTTTAGTGACTTAAATACGTATTTTAACCATATATACTTTTGTAGTTTGAATTCATTGATATATATATATTAGTTTTTCCATAATATTTTTTAAAATCAATATTCCAAATACATAAAATTATTTAATCAAACTGCTCTAAACTAAAAGGTATATACAGTAACAATACATAGTTTTATGAAAATTGTTCAAGAGTGTTTACAGACTTGAATGCGTTTTTAAGAACAAGGGCAATAACTCATTCAAAATATTGTTCTATTTTTCTGATTTTTGATAGGGTTCATCCTTGGGTGATTACAAACAACCATACCAAGTTTCGTCAAAACCAGTCAAAAAATGTGCCTTGAAGAGTGTTTACGAGCAATTGTGCATGGACGGATGGGTATGGGTGACGGCAATATACGCTCCCCATTTCATGTTGTCGTATAAAAATTGGTAAGCGCAAATTTACCCAAATACTAACTTGACCAAGATCTCATCAATATAAATAGGACGTAAACTCCATTCATTTCATTTCATTTGAGCTCATGAACAAATTTTGAGACATTTTTCATAAATCAGGGACAATAACTCAATAACTGTTTATTAAAAAATATTCAAATTCGAACATGTCCAAGATCTCATCAATATAAATAACCACAACAATTTGTATTTAAATCGGATGAAAACTGTAGTTTCTATTGTGCTCACAAACAAATTTTGACACGTTTTGACAAGGGCAATAACTCAAAAACCGTTCATTGAAAAAACTTCAAATTCGAAATTAACCAAGATCTCATCAATATAAATGATCACACCAAGTTTCATTTTATATAAGATAATAATAATGTATCATCAGCTTATACAACACTTTTATTATTACTTCCAGTAATCTTCTATTTTGCTCAAACGATTTGATGTGATTTGACTAAGTCAAGGGCAATAACTTAAAAACTGACAATAGTCAAATTCAGGCTTGATCACAACAGCAATAGCTTAGCGAAAAATCGTCAAATTCAAATTGATTGGAGATCTTCTCAATCCCAATGTTCACATCAAGTTTCATCAAAATCCATTGAAAATTATAGCAAGGGCAATAACTCAAGATAGCCTGCCAGGCAAAGTAATATACACCCTCTACCAGATGTCAGAAATGATAGCAAAGTCTTTGGTGACATAATAATGAACTTTTAAAGATTGAAATAATCTTTAAATTATTTATAAGTCAAGGCAAACCTCAAAATCAGTTACATCAAATTATCATCGAAATTCAAACATGAACAAGGTATCATCGACGTACACACAAGGGCATTAACTCTGAAACCGTTCATCGGATTAATACCAATTTTGAACATCAATACATACATGCATACCAGGTTTCATTCAGATCGCTTAAAACCGTAAGCCTACAAGCCTATCGTGCCTACAAGCCAAATTTTTATATTAAGTCAAGGGCAATAACTCCAACACCAATCATCCAATTGATACAAATCTCTAACTTGACAGAGATCTCATCAATGCATACATGCATACTAAGTTTCATCAAGATCGGTTAAAAACTGTAGTCTCTATGTGTTTACAAGCCAAATTTAACGCAATAACTCTGAAACCGATCATTCGATTATTACCATTTTCCATTTTTTAATATATACATGCATACCAAGTTTCATCAAGATCAAATAAGATAGCTTGCGAGTAAAGGTATCATATGCCCACTGGCAGCTGTCATAAATGATAAAACAGTCTTTAGTGACTAAAGTATGAATTTTCTCATATTGAAGAAATTTTATTAGTTTGAATTCAATTATATATATATATATGCCAGTTATTAATGCTGAGTAATTCCACAATAACCCAAATACAACAAATAATTAAATCACACAGCTCTAATCAAGGGCAAAAAAAAACCATTTTGACACGCTTTCTAAGTCAACTCAAAAACAAGTTCAAACTTGTCCACAATCTCATCAATATAAATGATCACACCAAATTTCATTCAAATCAGTTCAAAATTGTAGTCTCTATTGTGTTCACAAACAAATTTTGACGCGTTTTTCCTAAGTCAAGGGCATTTAGTCAAAAACCGTTCATTGAAAAATCGTCACATTCGGACTTGACCAGGATCCCATCAATATAAATGACCACACCAAACTTCATTAAAATCAGTTGAAAACTGTAATTGCAGTGCGTTGTTTTGAAAATCACTATTTTTTTTTTTTTTTTTTGTCTATTTCTGGCCACGCTCCCCAGCCAAAACTGCACGTCACACATTGTCTGTCACTATTATTTCTTATACCTTGTGTGTCGCTACTGTTTAAATGTAAAATGACGCATTTTCTTTCGACAGGAGATGACGTATGACGTTAACCATTCATTGCGTATTTCAAATTAATGCTCTAATTCTGCATCTATTTTGACCGTAATTTTTGTTTTGTTCATTACTTTATATATCTCATGATCTAATGATTGTAAACACTTGAAATTTTGAACATTATTTAACAATGTACACCTCATCACAGACGACATAAAAATTTTGAAGTGAGCGTGGCACATCCGGTGTGCATTTACCTTTACCTGAAATATTTGCAATTGTCATAACTCGTAAAGTTTGCAATTGTCACCCTCTATATTTTGCATGAAAATTATTCACTACTTTACTTATTCTTTACTTTAAAAAAGGGAATATGTTTAACAATTTTAAAAATTTTCATTTTTGAACTTTAACATAAATGACCTTTACCTTTACATGCTCAAAGGTCATTGACTTAGGATGACCATTCTTACTTTGATCTTTGATGTCCGATATATACTTCCGGTTTTGCAGACGTCCGAAAACAGCAATTTTCGAAACTTCAAAGGCTCATATTACTTTTATTTGACCTTTTGATCTAAACAAAAGTTGTTGCCCATTACGAGATATATCTTCACTTTTGTTGTGCATCGTTAACTTCCGGTTCTACAGCCAATTGAAAATCTAGATTTTAACTTTAAAAAGATGTCAAGTGACCTAATTTACATATGTGAAAATTTCTCTTATGTCCTTATTACACACAATATATTTTTTCAAATGATATATAACACTTGGTATTTTGATTAAAATTGCGCTTTTTAGAATTTGAAAATTTTGTATTGACTTCTATAGTAACTGTGCGTAATTGTAACGGTTTCTATAATCCACCGACAGTCACTGTTGCCTTAAAAACTTTTAACTATGAATATCTCATGATCTAATAGTGGTAAACACTTGAAATTTTGATCATTATTTGACATTGTACACATTATTAGAGACAACACAAAATTTTTGCAGTGGGCATGGCAAATCCGGTTACTTTCACCTTTACCTTAAATAATTCAAATTGTTATAACTCGCAAAGTTTGTATTTGTCATCATCGAAATTTTACATAAAATTAAAGCACTATTTGGGACAATAATTGATAGAGTTACATTTTATTTGGGTCTCTTACTTTAAAAAGGGGAATAGGTTTTACAATTTATAAAATTTTAATATTTTGACCATTTACATGCATGACCTTGGTCTTTAGAAGGTCAAAGGTTATTGATCTACGATGTCCAATCATACTATTATCTTTGATGTCCGACATATATTTTCGCCTTTACAGAGTCCCAAAACAGGAATTTTCAACACTTTTAAGGCTTATATTTCTTTTATTTGACCTTTGTTGATCTCTCGACCATAACACAAGTTATAGTATCTGACAAAACCTTTCCAAAAATATTTTCATTTTTGTTGTGCAATTTGTTCTTTAAACTTTACAGCTATTTGAAAAATTGACTTTTTACTACCGAATGTTAACACCTTTTAGTACCGAATGGTATCAAATCCATGCGTCTTTTCACTACCAAACGTTTAACGGTTTAAACGATTTTTACTATTGAATGTTTACATGCTTTTCTTTCCGGTAAGAAATCCCATTTTGACTTTAAAATGCAACGTGTTATCGATGTATCAGGTCGGATGCGCACTGCTTCGATACCGTTCTAGTATCTTTTGTATTCACAAACAAATTTTGACGCGTTTTTCCTATGTCAAGGGCAATAACTCAAAAACCATTCATCAAAAATAAGTCAAGTTTAAACTTGTCCGAGATCTTATCAATCCCAATGATCACACCAAGCTTCATCCAAATCTGTTGAAGACTGTAGCTTCTATTGTGCTCACAAACAAATTTATAAGCGTTTTTACAAAGTCAAGGGCAATAACTCAAAAACTGTTCATCGAAAATGCGTCAAGGAAGAAATTGTCCGAGATCTTGTTAATGCCAATGATCACACCAAGTTTCATCAGAATCGGTTGAAAACTGTAGCTTCAATCTTGCTCACGAACTATTTTTAACAAACTTAACAGAGATCTTATCAATTTAAAGCATCCCACCAAGTTTTATCAAAATCAGATGAAAACTGTAGTCTCTATAGTGCTCACAAAAAATGTTGACCAACGGACAGGGGCGACGACTTTGAGAATTTCTTTGAGGACTTTGAGTTATATCGATGGTGAGTTACTTTTAGACCTATTTATACTAAAATTTAATGGTTTTTTTTAAGAAAATCACACAGACTAGTGTAGGCTACGCCTACCCTGAAGCTTGGTGCAATTGTGGCCAAATCAATTTGTCGAGTTCTATGCTGAGCCTATTTTTTTCTTTAGTATATCTTTATCTTGATAATAGCAGTGAGACTTTGAACAAAAATGTCAAACATTTTCCTGAAAATTGTACTCACGTTTCATGTAGCCTATGCGATATGATATGGTCATGTTTAGATTTTCTTCAACTCAAAGACATTTTAACACTAACAATAGCGACTAGGCCGACAGTAGATATATATTTTTAGGATGATATAAAGATAGCTTGCCAGGCAAGGTAACATACACCCACTACTAGCTGTCAGAAATGATAACAAAATCTATAGTGGCTTAATAATGAATTTTCAAATAATCTGAAAATCATCTATAAGTCAAGACAAAAACCTGAAACAGTTCATCAAGTTATTACCAAATTCAAACATGAACAATGTCTCATAGCTGTACACAAAAGGGCAATATATCAATACATACATGCAAACCAAGTTTCAAGAAGATCAGATAAAAACAGTAGACTCTAACGTGCATACAAGGCAAATTTGACGCGTTTTTACTAAATCAATGGCAATAACCATTCTTCCGATTATTACCGATTTTGAACTTGTCCAAGATCTCATCAATATATACATGCCTACCAAGATTCATCAAGATCAAATAAAAACTATAGTCAAGCAAAATTTAACGCGTTTTTATTAAGACAAGAGCAATAACTCTGCAACCATTCATCCGATTATTACTAATTTTGAACTTGACCAATATCTCATCAGTACATACATGCATACCAAGTTTAATCAAGATCAGATAAAAACTATATTCTCTATTGTGCCTACAAGCCAAGTTTGACGCTTTTTTACTAAGTCAGGGGCAATAACTCTAAAACCAGTCATCTAATTATCACTAATTTCGAACTTGACAGATATCTCATCATTATATACATGCATACCAAGTTTCATTAAGATTGGATAAAAACTGTAGCCTGTATCACGCCTACAAGAAATGTGGGCGGATAAAAACTGTAGTCTCTATCATGCATACAAGTTAACTTTGAATCAAGGGCAATAACTCTGAAACCATTCATACAATTATTACCATTTTCGAACTTGACCGAGATCAATATACATCAATATAAACATGTATACCAAGTTTCATCAAGATCAGATCAAAAATGTAGTCTTTATCATGCATGCAAGCCAAAATTTGACTCATTTTTACAAAGTCACGGGCAATAATTCAGACACCATTCATCCGATTATTGCCATTTTCGAACTTGACTGAAATTTCATCAATATATACATACACATCAAGTTTCATCAATAAAAACTGTAGCCTCTATCGAGCATACAAGAAATGTGGATGGACAGACAGGGGCTACAGCAATACGTCCACATTTCCATGTAAGCGTATAAAAAACTGTTAGTCAAAAAACTTGATTGCCATATCAATTCCAATGCTCACACCAAGTTTCATTCAAATCCATTGAGAATTTTAGATTCTTTTTTGCCCACAAAAAGATTTTGTCGCAAAGTCAAGGGCGATAACTCAAAAACAGTTCATCGAAAAATCAAATGAAAACTGTAGTCTCTATCATGCCCACAAGAAGTGTTGACAGACGGACAGGGGCGACAATATACGAACACGTATTCATGTGGGGGTATAAAAAGTGGAAAAAAAGTCAGTAAATGGATCAAAAAAATTTTTGTACGGACTGAAATTTTTGAAACTGTTTTTTTCTGCCAACTACATGTATATTACAAATATCACAATTATAAAGTGTGAACTTTTAACCCATTACCGCATATCTCGATAAATATTGTGACTCTTGTATCTCGATACATATCGTATAGAGTCATGATTGGTAATACCTAGCGCAGGTTGTAATACCTGTAAGACTTCACCAAAAACTAAAAATCTTCATGGCCTTCCAAATACATATATATAATCAAGATGCAACTATCTTATTAGTCAAAATGCTCACTGAACTGTCAATTCTTAAGGAAGGAAGTAAAATTGAAATTAGTGATGAAATTCCATTTAATGAATACCTACTGAGGAGCAGCTTGATCTAGTTGTTTAAATAACTTTCTTTTAACATCTAAATTTTCAACAATAGCTTCTATTACCAAATCTGCTTTTAACACTGATTTCGCTGAATCTGTTTCTGTTTGAATTTTCCCTAATACATCCTTAACAAAATTTTCTCCACCCTGAAAGAATTAATAAGCATGTGTTCTATAATACTTGGACTCAGTGCATAATGCTAGAAAAGCTAAAGATAGTGGACCACAGCCATATACGCCCTTCACGGCATGCGGATGGTAGAAACGAAACATCCATATAAAGTTTCATCAAAATCGGTTAAAACTAAGAGAGCAATAGCATATTCAAGATTTTGGGGCAAGGAAAATAGCTCTTTTTATGAATATCTATACACATACCGAATTTCATTTGATTCCATCACAAAATCTAGTTTTTAAAGCGTTTACAAGCAAATGTTGATGGATCGACGGATGGACAGAGTGTTTACGAGCAATTGATGTTGATAGAAGCACTTACTGTATAGAGGTTAAAGGGCGATAACTCCTCAAAACTGACTTAAGAAGCCTAAATCTTGAAAGATAGCTTGCCAAGGTAACATACGTCCACTACCAGCTGTCAGAAATGATAACACAGTCTGTAGTGGTTTAATATGTGAAACCAATCATCCGATTGTTACTAATTTCAAGCTTTACCCAGCCTCATACCAATATTCATAAAAAACGAACAAAAAAATGTAGTCTCTAACAGGCCCACAAGCCAAATTAGATGCACTGAATAAATTGAAGGGCCATTACTCCAAAACCATTCATCCAATTATTACCATTTTTGAACTTCAGATCTCATCAATTTATACATACATACCAAGTTTCCTTGAGATCAGATAAAAACTGCACCCTGTATCATGATTACAAGCAAAATTTGAAGCCAAGGGCAATAACTCTGAAACCAAGTCAAGGGCAATAACTCTGAAACCAATCATCCGATTATGACTAAATTCAAACTCGACTGAGATCTTATCAATATATACATGCATACTAAGTTTCACCAAGATCGGATAAAAATTGTCACAGCCTTTATCATGCATACAAGCAATTTAACGCGTTTTTACTTAGACAAGGGCAATAACTCTGCAACTGTTCATTCGATTATTACGAATTTCGAACTTGACTGAGATTTTATCAATATAGACATGCATACCAAGTTTCATGAAGATCAGATAAAAACTGTAGCCTCTATCGCGCCTACAAGAAATGTGAACGGACGGAAGGACCGACCGACAGACAGGGGCGACAGCAATATACGTCCACATTTCCATGTGGGCGTATAAAAAGCCTTAAATTTAATCAGAAGTAAACTAAACTTTCTCAAACCTTTCAATTTAGGTCCAATAACATCCATTTTAAGTTTTATAAAAATCAGTTGAAAACTAAGAGAGTAATAGCATATTCAAGATTTTTGGGCAAGGGCAATAACTCTGCTTCTAACTGTCGAAAATAGCTCAAATTCAAACTTGATCATCATTTTATGAATATGTATACACATACTGAATTTCATTTGATTCCATCAAAAAATCAAGCAAATGTTGACAGACCGACAGACGGACAGAGTGTTTACGAGCAATTGATGTTGATAGAAGCACATAGAGAGATGTGGGCATATAAAAATCATGATAAATTATTAGCACCAAAGATAATGAAGGGAATAATCAGTCCAGTGGTCAGGGTGGGGTCTGTTGGGCTGGGCTCCAGTAAGTGAGGATTAAGCCCCAGCAAAAACTTATTCAGTTCAGCAGAGATGGATTTATTTAAAGTGTCATTTTACGAAATCAAAAAGACATAGATTTTGATACGTTTTTGGCACTTCAAAATTGTCCCAGGGAGTCATGGTGGCTCCGTAAATTGGAAGCTTGCTTGCTAACCTGAAGGTCCAGGGTTCAATCATTGGTCAAGATGATACGTTCAGATTTTTAATCCCGTTTTCCCCTGTCTGTGATGCAGGTAAGAAGGGGTGACATGGAGAAAGCATCTAGTCGTTGGATGGGACAATAAACTGAGGCCCCTTGTGCTACAACCGAAAAAGTAGGACGTAAAAAAATTGTTAGAAATGAGTTCTCTGGGCCTTTAATTCTAAAATTTTCTGAGTACAAAATCTGAGCCCTAGCACCATTTCCTTCCTGTGGACGGGGCTGGGAATAATGCTGTCATAAAAATAAATAAGTTATATTAAGTAGTTTTAAAAATTATTATTGTTAATAAAGTGCAAGATATATATAAGTTTTTTCTTTATTGGAACCATTGGTTGTCCCAAAGGAATTTATATGCCCATATTTCTGATATTTGGCCTACTTACTGCTGCATCATCAGCATATTTCTTCTTGGCAACTCTTTGTAAACTTTTCCTGAGATTACCCATGGATTTATCTAATATGTCTTGGTTTTGATCAACTAATACAACATTATGTCCTGTTGAAGCAGCAACCTAATATGAAAAAGGAGATAAATTTTCAAAAAAATTCCTGAAAAAGGAGATAAATTTTCAAAAAAATTCCTGACTGTACAGTGGTGTAACATATTTTCGTGGATATATGGATTCAACACCAAATTTCGTCAAAGTTAAAAAAACGAAAACAAATTTTTATGTCTTAGATGTTTCCTCAGATATTCTACAAAATATTAGAAATTGGTTTATTTCGATTTTCTTAATGAATCCTTCACTTTGACCCATATTTCATGAGCAACCAACTCGGCAACGGCGGCAGAATGTGTCACCTATTTTCGTGTACAATGTTTGATCTATAAATAAGTCTAGAAAAACACATGGTATAATTAACTTCTCTTAGTATTTATCTTTAATATCAATTCATTATAACTGGTGACAATTCTTTCAAAGAACCACGATTTAAAAAAACAAATAGTGACTTACAAAATAAGATACGTAGTGTGATTTATTGCTAAAAGTCACTGAAACAACATAAGAATATGGTCCACTTTGTGTTCCATAGAAATTTTCTGCTGACACAGAATCAGCTAGTTGATCACGTGACTTCATTCGTTAGATTATATTCTAGCAAACGACGCTTGGAATTCCAATTACCGCACGGAATTATAATGAAATTCGGCCGATAAAAAATGGTGACGTTTGGTAATAAGTGAACTCCGCCATTTTGTATTTGTCAAAGTATACATTAATACATTTTACTTTGCTTGAAATTACTGGATTCACTCTACTAGCTGATATTGTACAGAAAACCCATGTTTATCAAAACAAACTAATGCGGAGGTCGCTCACGTAAATTATTAATCATTTCCGAAAATCCACGAATAATAGGTTTCCACGAAATAAGGTTACTTGACTGTACTAAAAGTTATGCTACTACTAGCACTAGGCCTAATGTATTTATTCAGTATTTTTACAATAGAAAAATCTGCAAAATAGTACCGATAGTCTTAGCTTGACTAATATTAGCTGACTTTGAAGAAGTTATATAACCATTTTACTGTGCGAAAATCAATCTAAAGGTCATTAGGATATGCATTTTTGTCTTAGTAGACTTTGATCTTCTTTTTTCCATTTTAAGTGGCCAATACAACATATTCAATGTGTCCCCCAAATTGACACTATAATAACCTGTGCAATTCCAGCGCCCATTAAACCACTACCAATAACTGTCACTTGCTTAATTTGTGCCATTGTAGAAGCACTCGAAGAAAAACTTCTATTGAAAACTTTGAAAACGCCGGCCATGATGTCTGCTCAAAGTTCACAAGACTAAAAACTTTATCTCCTTTGATAAAAGAGTTCAGTCCCTCAGTCTCAATTATCCAGTTGATAATTTAATTAAGCTTAAGCCTGGTCATTCGAAAAATACAGGTGAGTTATTTTCAGTCTTGCTCTTCAAGACGTTTGAAATATCTGTCTGACAAACGAGACTAACTTGAAAACAACAGGTAAACCTTTAATGCGCCTGCGTCGTGTACAGGTAGAAGAATTCAGTGAATCATGGGAAGGAAAAGCGACCATTTTACACCAAATGAAACCGTTAGGATAAAATAAAACTACAAAATGAAGGAGAAGACATTAGATAAGGATACCATTGTAGCCTATCACAGCTTCGTTCAACAGAGAATAAGGAGTGATTTAAATGGGTTGGGGATAGGACACGCGTGGCTTCCTTGTCGATTGGCAATTCTGTTTGCCATTTTATCAGCTGCCAGTTTGATCACAGGTAGACAGACTTTGACACAGAAAATATCTCTTTCATGAGTCATGATATATTTTTGATTTTAATTTATCTTAGGAGTAATTTAATAAACTGTCTGTATCTCATGAATTATAAAATTCTCCAAATTGTGACCTACAGAATAAAATGCCTATGCCTGACTTTCAAAGCTGACACTGATTTTAAATGGCCATTCATTTTTTGTTTACTAGCTGATATGGCACTAATCTGACTTGCCAAAACCCCAAGCCCAAAATTCTTATGAACCATTATTTCAACGAAAAGTGAATGTTAATGTGAAACACAAAATATAGTTAATAGTAACTGGTCTGTAAAATAGACTACTCTCTGACTACTATGAACTCTGAATTGAAATTTTTGTTATCTCATTTCATCAATTCAAATAAAAGTAAGGTAAGAGAATTATTAAAATGTTAAAAACTGGGGCCCGAGTCCCGAAAAAAGTAAGGGTAAGAGAATTCATGAAATGTTTAAAACTCGATCCGAGTCTGGAACAAAGTGGTCCTAGTTTGTTGTGAAAAACACTAGGACAGATTCTCTAAAAAAAATGGTCCAAGTGTGTGATGAAAAATGTTCTGAATGTGTTGTGAAAAGTGGTCAGATTTTGTTTTGGTCAGAGTTGTCCTGATTCCTTATTTTATATGTCTTCGTGTCCATGGAAATATAAGGTTCAGCAATTTTACATTTTGTAAGACTCTCAGTAGTATTTTATAGTTAATATTTCAATTCATTTGTAAATGATTGGCAAAATTAAATTCAGAAATCATTGTAGTCAGAGAGTACATATCAGTATTATCATATTTTGCTCTTTCTAGTGGCTTATGATGAACATCTGAAGTCATTTTTATACGCCCACATCCGTCCATCCGTCCATTCACATTTCTTGTAGGCGCGATAGAGGCTACAGTTTTTATCCGATCTTGATGAAACTTGGTATGCATGCATATATTGATGAGATCTCGGATAAATTCGAAATTGGTAATAATCAGATGAATTGTTTCAGAGTTATTGCCCTTGACTGTTCAGGTTTTTGCCTTGAGTTATTGATGATATTAAGATTATTTGAAAATTCATTATTAAGCCACTAAAGATTTTGTTATCATTTCTGATGGCTGGTAGTGGGTGTATGTTACCTTGTCTGGCAAGCTATCTTGATTATATAAGATTAAATGGTTTTGCCTTAAACTTGTATTACACTGTGTAGAAATATCACTTTATCTATTTTATTGATATTTTAGGTCTTTTAATCATCGTGTTAAGACATCGTCATGTTTACCTCATAGATTGGTGGGCACAATTTACTGGTCCTGCATTTATCATAGCATTCCTTATCCTGGCCTCCATTGCTACATACCTTTTGGTCATCGCTAAACGTAGATCCAACTTGTATCGTAGAGAATTATTTGTAAGTTCATTCTTTAGCCCCACAATCCTGCCTTAGATCTATGGCTACCCTTTGAGACAATATACAAATCTAGTTGAAGCTTTTTTTCCCAATTTTTAATGCTCAGTAGAGATTTATCAATAGAAACTATTTTTGTACAAAGACGCCTGCCATTGCATATTTAAGATAATCATGTTGATTGATATATAAACAAATATATTTAATCAATCAATTTAAATTTTAGAACCAAAGTCAAATAATCAACTTTCACATTAACTAAGTTTTAAAACTTAAATCTTATATAATTTGATATACCTAGACAGTTTTTTACCTGTTTATTTTAGTTCCGCCCAATTGGGGATTTTGGTGTAGCTGTGGTTCATAAGAGTAATCTACAATTTGAACAAGAGCAAAAGTAAGTGAAAGGCTGAGCCTTAAAAGGATTATAGAGAGGTTTTTTTTCAATTTTTAATTTGAATCTGGGACACTGAAATCACCAATTTGCACCATTCAAACACTTAGTTTTATTGGAATAGCAAAATCACTTGACCTTGACATCAAATTCTCACTGTGATCATTGTGGTTGAATATAAGTCAAAACTGGAACTGGAGTTGCAGCTTAACAGTCCAAAAATTTAGAGTCTGTATATAACAGTTGTGTCCTTTATTATGCCAGATTTTATACAAGAACTTGCAAAATTCCATGGCAGTTGCACATTGCAGCTTATCTTATTAGTAAGGTTAATGCATTAGTTCCACAATCAACATATCAATGTATTGTATGAGAATGTAAAATTGTAAAAGTGGTTCTGAATTGAACACCACCACCACAGTGGTTCATACAGGAAACTATTACTTGTATTTTCTATTTTCAGACCAGAATTAAAATCTGGAACTACCCCCCATCGTGGAGTTATGCCAAATTCGGCTGCGTATTCAGAAAGGGTATGTTGCACAAGCTATCTTTAACGTTTAATTCTAGTATTCTAACTGGTTCAGCTTTTAATCAGATCAATTCCAAGGATCAATTGTGTTGACATTCCCTTTACATTTCTGAAAGCTTATTTTTTTATAAGAAAAAATGTGGTTTGTGTACAGTTTGTTTGTGGAATAATGAAAAACAACTGAGGTGATGGGTTCATTTATTATCTTGTTAAGAGCTTTTCTAACAGGATATGATTCTTTTCATCTTTCAGAGGCAGCGTGAAGGTCATGAGAACAGAGCTTACAGGGAAGACAGAGATAGACGTAGAGATGATAGAGATAGGAGAGAAAGGCGTCCTGATGGTGAGCGAAGACACAGAGATGACCGTGAAAGAAGACCCGATGAAAGGGAAAGAAGACCAAGAGATGACCGTGATAGACGTCCTGATGACAGAGAAAGACGACCAAGAGATGATAGAGAAAGGAGGCCAAGAGATGGAAGACGTGAACGTGATCCAAAAGAAGAAGAACGGCGTAGAGATGCGAGAAAAGAGCTCGAGGCAATGGGTGAAATGGATCCGAGGGAGAGGGAGTATCGAGAAAGAAAAGATAGAGAAAAAAGGGAAAGGGAGCGTTCTGAAGGTAGACATTCAAAGCCTGAAGGTCCTCAAGGACAATCAAGTCCAAGAACTGATGCTCCAAGTCAAGAAGGACGCAGAGCAGGTAGAGGTGCTCCTAAATTACCAGCAGATGCCAGTGGATTTGTTCCTCCGTAAGTATTGATTTAATGAAATTCTAATTGTTTTTGAAGTAAATGACATTTAGAACTATTTAAGTCTCAATAAAATACTTCTGACCGTTGCTGATTCTTCACAAATGAAATTTTGTAACCAATCAAAGTTTTTCTTTTATATCAGTATTCATTTAAATTTTAGGGACAGAATTGTGTTAGATGCTGATTTTGGACAGTCTGCAGGATACATGGAAACATCCTCCCGTGCATCAGAATCTGATTTGTAATTATCTTGTGCCATTTTCATTGAACATTCTTTTATCATATTATCATGCTTAGCCACCCATCCTAAACCCAAGTGCAAATGTCAAGCTTTAGTTTTACCAATAGCAAGCTAATGGAACTTAGTGAAGAGATTATTTGAAATCATTTTCCAAATCTGTCATTCAAGATTCAGTTAATAGAAAATAGAGACAAGGGGATCACCATGGTTTGAAACTTTGTCCATCTTGTTTACAATCTGGTGATAACAGATAAAAATCAGCTTATTCTTCTTGCAAAACTTGTGCAATGTAATATTTCATAAATTACATATATTACATTCCATGGAAATAAGAAATTCCTGTGTAGTGTAAGAGGGATTGTAAAGATTTTCTAATTTTTGTGTGCTTCCAATTGCACCGTTCCAATATTCTGCTTGACTATGTGTGTTCTTTGATTTTAGCCAAAACTTGACTTCGCTATTGCAAAAACTCTATTATGCTTTCTATTAATTTTATGACAGTTCTTTGACTCTCGCCTATTTACAAATTTATTTATTGTCGGACAATTGATAGACAGGAATAGTGCCATTGGAAGCAAGAAGTGTATTGGATACACATACAACAAATCCTCCAAAAATCCCTTAAACTATAATTATTATTCCATTTTTATATGCCTTATACGCAATCCATTCTTTTTTATCAGTTATCTTGAAAAGTGTTTTGTACAGGTCAGTTTCACAATGAGTAGGTATGATCCTTTGTAATGGTATAAAATATATACACCAATGACCAAACCAAACAATATTTGGTAATTTTAGTAAAATCTGTAAATAAGCCTTCACATTTTTTTTTTATAATTTTACAATTCATATCTTTTATATTTTTACTAATTTTTAAATGTATATTTCCAATAATAAATTTTTATATACAATTCTTGATATTGAGGGTTTTACATGAATCCCTGCTCAGTCAACATGAGACAGACAAGCTGGAAAGATCATGGAGATTAGAAATGATTGAAGTAGTGAGTTATGAAAGAAAATATTTTAATGATTGAACTAGGATGGTACAAATACTCATCCCCTTTGCCAGGGTGGGGCCCATGGGGGCTGGGCTCCAGCAAGCGAGAATTGAGCCCCAATAATTGACCTATCACAAAACCTTATTCAGTTCAGCAATGCTTGATTATTTGTAGTGACTTCGTCAGGTTTTTGTTCTCTATCAATTGCGACTATTTATTTTTCCTCCCGTGAATTCCGACCCGAACTAAGTGCATCCCTGTAACGGCCAAATTAACTTTCGTATGTAATGTTTTGTTTCATTGTTTGGAGTTGTCTTTCTTGTTTGGAACGGGACTCTTAACCACTGATCTATATAATAACTCTTTAAAGATAGAGGAGGACTTGTGAAGCCTACCGAAAGTGTTACGGATGTGCTTTACTACAAAAGTTTTTCAAAGACTTCTAAAGATAGCTTGCCAGGCAAGGTAACATACGCCCACTACCAGTTGTCAGAAATGAAAACAAAGTCTGTATGTTTAATATATGTGAAACCCATCATCCGATTGTTACTATAATCTCATACGTAGTTTTATCAAAAAACGAATAATAAAATGTAGTCTCTATCAGGCCTTCAAGCCAAATTAGACGCACTGAATTAATTCAAGGGCCATAACTCCAAAACCATTCATCCAATTATTACCATTTTTGAACTTGAGATCTCATCAATATATGCATGCATACCAAGTTTCATTGAGATCAGATAAAAGCTGCAGCCTGTATCATGACTACAAGCAAAATTTGAAGCGGTGTACTAAGTCGAGGGCAATGACTCTGAAACCAATCAGCCGATTATGACCAAATTCAAACTTGACCGAGATCTTATCAATATATACATGCATACCAAGTTTCATCAAGATCGGATAAAAACTGTAGCCTCTATCGCGCCTACAAGAAATGTGAACGGACGGATGGACGGATGTGGGCGTATAAAAATGACTTCAGATGTTCATCATAAGCCACTAGAAAGAGCAAAATATGATAATGAAAATAAAAATCTTAGCCTTTATCACGCATACAAGGCAAATTTAACGCGTTTTTACTAAGTCAGGGGCAATAACCCTGAAACCGTTTATCCGATTATTACCAATTTTAAACTTGACTGAGACCTCATCAATATATACATACATACCAAGTTTCATCAAGATAGGATAAAAATTGCAGCCTTTATCGTGCATACTTGTAAGACAAATTTAACGCGCTGTTACTAAGACAAGGGCAATAACTCTGCACCCGTTCATCCGATTATTACTAATTTCGAAATTGACCGAGATCTCATCAATACATACACGCATACCAAGTTTCATGAAGATAGGATAAAAACTGTAGCCTCTATCGCGCCTACAAGGCAAATTTGACGGGTTTTTTTCTAAGTCAAGGGCAATAACTCAGAAACCATTCATCTGATAATTACGAATTTCGAACTTGACTGATATCTTATCAATATATACATGCATACCAATTTTCATTAAGATCAGATAAAAACTGTAGCCTCTATCGTGCCTATAAGCCAAATTTGACGCGTTTTTACTAAGCCAAGGGCAATAACTCTGAAACCGGTCATCCGATATTACCAATTTCGAACTTGACCGAGATCTCATCATTATATACAAGTTTCATTTAGATTGGATAAAAAACTAGCTGTAGCCTCTATCGCACCTACAAGAAATGTGAACGTACGGACCGACCGGACGGATAGGGGCGACGGCAATATACGTCCACAATTTCATGTGGGCGTATAAAAAAGGGATTTTGGCGCCCCTGACTTAACCTAAGTCTGAATTAAGTTCGAGTATATCATAGACCTTTAGGCCTAGAATCTTGGGGCCTGAGGGAAATATTATATTCAGTTGTGGTTTTTAACAAAACAAAATTAAATGGGAGTTATTGCCCTGTAATCACGTGTGCCGAGAAATCTTCATCACTTTCCATGTCGGTCGAGAGTTGCAGCATTCATCTCAATATAGAAACTTATATCCAGTAGTTCATGAACTGATTGTGTCGTGGTGGTTACACAGAAGATCTTTTGATCGTTATGAAAACAGTCAGTTAGTGTCTAAAGTGTGTTGACATGGCATGGTGAATTTATCGTTTTACACAATGTCAGGTGTTAAATTTGTAGATTTATGTTGTTGATGTTATTGATGACCAGCCACCAGATGTCAGCAGGTTGGATATCTTGTCGTGTGGCCAATCGCCTGCTTTCATGCAGACGATGGGCACCCTTTTTAATATCCGAAAAACAAGAGAAATATTGCGCGAAAGAAAAATTGCGTGGAAATAGTTTTCAAAGGTTGTTTCAAAGGAGAACGTATAGTAGAAGTCCAGAAGATATTATGGAAAATATGTTGGGGTCTTTAAATGTGAATAAGCTATTGGAGAAAGGTTAGGCTAGCAGTTTTGATAATCGTACTAATATTTAATAGGCCTACAATGGTGTAACCTATCTATTAAGGATTCAACACAAACAGAAACCTTTTTATTATATCTTAGATCTTCAGATATTCTATGAATTAATTAGAATTGGTTTGTTTTTTTAAGAATCCCTCACCTTGACCCATGAGTAACCGACTGGACAATGGCTGCAAAATGCTTCACCTATTTTCTTGTGTAGGCCTACTATGTTTGATCTATAAATGAGTAAAGAAAAACACATTGTATGGATACCCAGTGGAATAATTTATATCATTTCTAAGTACTGGTATCTATCTTTAATGTCAAGTCATTATAACTAATGACAATTCCTTCAAATAACAATGATATAAAAAAAAAAAAATAGGGAGTACTGGTAACAAGATAAGATGAATAATACGTAAGATTAGGCCTAATTTATTGCTAAAATTCATTGAAACAACATAAGTAGTCATAAGCATATGGCCTACAATGTGTCCCATAGAATTTTACTGCTGACATGGAATCTGCTAGTTGTTTGTCAGGTGACTTTGCTCACTGGAATATATTCTAGTAGAGAAAACTTGGAATTCCGATTTACAGGTTCGGGTTATAATGGAATTTGGCTGATAAAAAATTCTAACATTTGGTAATAACTAAAATCCGCCATTTTGTGTAATGTTAGAAATAGATAATACATTTGATTGAATAAAATTACTTTGAAACCATAGGAAAAATTTTTCAGGTGGACTTATTGAGATAACCCATGTTTATCAAAACATGCAAATGTCGCACATGAATTATTTATCATTTCCTGAGATGCACAAAATTAGGTTTGCACAAAATCAGGCTATTTTTTACTTTTGTACTTTTTATACGTCCCCTAGCATTGGGGGGGGTGTATATTGTCGTCACCCATGTCTGTCTGTCCACAATTGCTCGTAAATACTCTACAAGGCACAATTCTTCCCATTTTTAGACAAAACTTGGTATGATTGCTTGTAATCACCCAAGAATGGACCCTATTGAAAATCGGGTGAATCAAAAAATATTTTATAGGCTATGAGTTATTGCCCTTGTTTTTGAAAGACTCCTAATAAAAGGTGCAATTCTTGACCGATTTTGATGAAACTTGGTGTGAATGTTGGTGATGACCCAGGAATGAACCCTATTTAAAGAAAGATAAAAATATAATTAGTACCGGTATGAGTTATTTCCCCTGTTCTTGAAAACGTGTTTTTTTAATTAATACCCTTGACTTAGTAAAATTGCATCAAAATGTTTTGGTGACTACAGTATTAATCTCATTTTAATTAAATTATGTGTGATAGTCTATTACATTGAAATCTTTGTCAAGTTTGAAATTGATGATTTTTCAATGGACTGTTTTTAAGTTATTGGCCCAGTAAAAATGCATCAAAATTGTTTGTGAAAACAATAGAGACTACAGTTTTCATCTGATTTTAATGAAATTCGATGTTATTAATTATGATAATAATATCATGGTCAATTCGAATTCAATGATGTCCATTGATTTAGTATAAAAGCGTCAAAATGAATACTATTTCATCTGATTTTTATACGCCCACATGAAATGAGGGGCGTATATTGCGTCACCCATGCCGATTTTGACAAAACTTAGTGTGAGTGTTGAAATCACCAAAGGACTAACCCTATTGAAAATCAGAAGAATCGAAAAATATTTAGTATGAGTAATTGCTCTTGTTCTAGGAAACTCGTTCAATTTCTACCTTATAAACACTCTAGAAGGCACAATTCTTGACGAATTTTGAAGAACTTTCCATATTTAGACTTGAACATGAATTAGATCTACTATGATCTCTTGACCTCTCTTGGATTGGAGCTACCTCCAATGTGCAATATATAGATAACCAGATAATGTCAGATTTTTATTGGCCAATTTCCTTATCGATGTATATCACGATTATTGATTATATTTTTTAATCGATTTATATTTACAAACTATAGTGGTCAATTGAAAGAATGAAGTGAATACGTAGGCTAACTCTTACTTTATTAGACTCTTTACTTTATTTTAGAAGAATTTAATGATAGTGGTATTCACATTCAAGATAGTTTTAGTGAAGAATTGGACTTACAGTTGAATAGACAATTTACTGTGAGTGAAGGAATAGACTGGCTTCTATTTTTATACACCCACATGAAATGGTGGACGTATATTGCCATCACCCATGTCCGTCCGTCCACAATTGCTTGTAAACACTCTACAAGACACAATTCTTGACGGATTTTGACAAAACTTGGTTTGAGTGTTTGTAATCACCCAAGGATGAACCCTATTGAAAATCAGAAGAATGGAAAAATATTTAGTATAAGTTATTGCCCTTGTTCTTGAAAATGCATTCAATTCTAAACTCGTAAACACTCTAGAAGGGACAATTCTTGACGGAATTTAATGAAACTTGGCGTGAGTGTTCGTAATCACCCAAGGATGAACCCTATTGAAAATCAGAAAAACCGAAAAATATGTAGTATGAGTTATTGCCCTTGTTCTTGAAAACGTGTTCAATTTTTAGCTATTAAACACTAAAAGGCATGATTCTTGCTGGATTTTGACAAAACTTGGTTTTATTATTCAGTCCCGCGCTGAAGATTTAATATTTGCCTTCTTGAGTTTTCAGAAGCTAAAAGTTGAACATGTTTTCAAGAACAAGGGAAATAACTCATACTCAATATTATTCAGTATCACCCTAAAGAGTTCAACAGAAGTGTATGACTGAAGGTTGAAAATTTCATACTGGTGATTGTTACTGTACTTTAGTCAACATCTCAGCCATTTGGCTTGTGTGCCAATTGTCTCAGCCATATGGTTTCACTGCAGACGGTGCAACTTTGGCTCACTCAACTGAACATTTTTTACAACAGCTGTAAAATATCACATGACAGCTTAAGCACATTCTATTGGTCGTTGAGGAAATGATGAGCTATTGTCTCAAGTCAAGCGCACACGCTGGGTCAATCATCATTCGTGCAATAAGTAATCAAACAGGATGGATTTTTGACACACTGTGTCCCGAGGCGAACGAAGGAGCAAAAATTACCCGCACAAGGTGAGATTTCAGTTACTTGTGGTAAATGACTGAGCTATTGACTCATATGTGCGCCATACTTAGCATTCATGTTCAATTTGATCATATTTTAGTTTTATATCAATTTCAGGTGTCTATTGAAGGTAATATAGGTTGTGGTAAAACAACATTATTAGAATATTACAAAAATTCACCAAATGTTGAGGTAGGTGTATGTTGTATCTTTATGAAATTTGTTGTGTCGTGGATTTTCAGGTTTTAACATCAAAGATTAGAAGTGACTACTGTTTATTATTTTAAAAAGACTAGACATCTTATCAATCGTGCGGTCATACATACTTGACCTTTCTTACCATTTCTGACCTCTTTATTAAAGAGTTCCTTATATACAGTTATGTCCCTTGGACCACCTAGATCAATATTCTACAAAATTAATTAAGATTATCTGTACAAAATTTCTAAAAGTATTATTAAGTTATTGTTTTCAATGCCCACATCATAATGTGGTCGTATATTGTCGTTGCCCCGTCCGTTCATAATTGGCATGTGAACACAATGAGAAATGATTTGAATTAAATTTGCTGTGATCATTTATATTAATGAGATCTTGGACAAGTTCGAATTTGACAATCTTTTGATGAACGTTTTTTTAGTTATTGCCCTTGACTTATGAAAAACGTGTCAAAATTTGGTTATGAACACAATAGAGACTATAGTTTTCATCCAATTTAAATGAAATTTGGTGTGTATATTTATAATGATGAGATCTTGGACAAGTTCGAATTTGGCTATCTTGCGATAAACGGTTTTTGACTTATTGCCCTTGACTTAGGACAATTGCTCGTAAACACTCCAGAAGGCACAATTCTTGACGGATTTTGACCAAACTTGGTGTGAGAGTTTGTAATCACCCTAGGATGAACCTTATTGAAAATCAGTTAAATAATTATTATGAGTTATTGCCCTTGTTCTTGAAAACACGTTAAAATTTAGCTTGTAAACACTGTGGAAGGTTCAATTATTGACAGATTTTGACAAAACCTGTGGTAAATATTTTTTATTACCCAAGAATGAATCTAATTGAAAATCAGAAATATCAAAAAATATTTAGTGTCCTTGTTCCTTGTTCTTGAACGCATTCAATTTTTCGTTCGTAAACACTCTAGAAGGCTCAATTCTTGACAGATTTTGATGAAACCCAATGGGAGTGTTCGTTATCACCCAAGAAGGAACCGTATCTAAAAATATTTTTCTTGAAAACCCTTTCAATTTTTAGCTCTTACTCACTAAAAGGCGTGTCCGTCAACATTTCTTCTGAACACAATAGAGACTACAGTTTTTATCTGATTTTAATGAAACTGGATGTGATAAATCTATATTGATGAGATCTTGGTCAAGTTTGAATTTTACGATTTTTCCATGAACGGTTTTTGAGTTATTGCCCTTGAAAAAAGCATTAAAATTTGTTTGTGAACACAATAGAGACCACAATTTTCATCCGATTTAAATGAAATTTGGTGTGATCAATTATAATGATGAGATCTGATCGCATTTGACGATCTTTCTTGGGTAATCAAAATTTGTTGGCAATATAGGTGACAGTTTACATGTCAGAATTTTATTAAATAATGTGTGTTTGTTTAAATCAACAATAGCTTGCACAAATAAGATTTTTGGTATGATTTGACACAGATAGGTGACTGCCCTTGATATACTGAAAATGTGTCAGGAAAGTGGGCGTATCTTGCTAGGCAATCACTTGTTTTTAATTATCATCAAAGGATGAGCCCTGTTGTAAGCCTATATAGAAAAGAGTTTGAAAAGAAATATATCATTCTCTCAAGGATAGATGATTTTGGGGATAGTTGCGAGTAAGCCAAATGTCCTTTAATGAACAAACCTGCCAGTTGTCATATTAAACTTGGTCTGGCAAGCTATATTTTTTTTATTTCAGCCGATACCTGAACCTGTAGAACAGTGGACAAATGTGAAGGGACAGAATGCTTTGGTAAGTTGACAAGATAAAATGTTCTGGTAAAAACCAGTGTAGTGAAATATTGGCACAATATCATGGGATCTGATAAGCGTCAACAATTGCTCGTAAACACTCCAGAAGGCACAATTCTTGACGGATTTTGACCAAACTTGGTGTGAGAGTTTGTATTCACCCTAGGATGAACCTTATTGAAAATCAGTTAAATAATTATTATGAGTTATTGCCCTTGTTCTTGAAAACACGTTAAAATTTAGCTTGTAAACACTGTGGAAGGTTCAATTATTGACAGATTTTGACGAAACCTGTGATAAATATTTTTTATTACCCATGGATGAATCTAATTGAAAATTGGAAATATAAAAAAATATTTAGTGTCCTTGTTCCTTGTTCTTGAACGCATTCAATTTTTAGTTCGTAAACACTCTAGAAGGCTCAATTCTTGACAGATTTTGATGAAACCCAATGGGAGTGTTCGTTATCACCCAAGAAGGTCCCGTATCTAAAAATATTTTTCTTGAAAACCCTTTCAAATTTTAGCTCTTACACGCTAAAAAGCGTGTCCGTCAACATTTCTTCTGAACACAATAGAGACTACAGTTTTTATCTGGTTTTAATGAAACTGGATGTGATAATGTATATTGATGAGATCTTGGTCAAGTTTGAATTCGACGATTTTTCCATGAACGGTTTTTGAGTTATTGCTCTTGAAAAAAGCATCAAAATTTCTTTGTGAACACAATAGAGACTACAGTTTTCAATTGATTTTAATGAAATTTGGGTGATCATTAATATTGATAAGACCTTGGTCAAGATCGAATGTGATAATCTTTCGATGAAAGGTTTTTGAGTTATCGCCCTTTACTTTGGAAATACGCGTCAAAATATGTTTGTGATGACAATAGACAGGGTTAGTACAGCCTTGAAAAACCCTTGAATTCCGTCCGTTGCCTTGAATAACCTTGATCTCAAAAAAAGTCTTTGAAAACACCATAAAAAACCCATTTTCTCTGAAATTCCTAATTTTTAGTTGAGTCCAAATTGTATATATTTCTTACAATTTGATAAGCGGACATTTTTGTCTGAGTAAGATTTATCAACAGAACAGCCGTCACTGAAAATAATAAACGTTGACTTGGAAGTATTTAATATAGATTACATAGTAGGGGGTATGAAGCAACAGCCATGGGCCATGTAGTCTCGGTTGTCATCTATGATATCTACTATCTCCACACACCATGTTGATCGAGCGATTATTATGTTACTATAGATAACTTGTAAGGTCACGTCTCGAGATGTCTATCAACTTAAATTAATAACATGCTTTTATTTTTCACTGTATTTGATCAATTCCAAATGATAAGAGAATTTTAGTGATTTTTTTCGCTAATTTGGCAGAATGACCTGTTCGAAAAAAAGTAATATTTCAGAGCTGGGCCCACTGGGAAATGGTCTCCTTGGTAACATGTATATCTTGATCGCCGCCATTGTTCTAATCTAAATTTATCGCTATGTCCAGAAGATGTACTTTTAACCGATCGTGGTTACAAATAAGTGAATTTAGTAAATGGAGGTTAAAGATAACCGAAACCATTCTCGCTGTTCAGTCTGTAACTGAAAACTATAAACCTGGCAAAAATGGGAAGCTCTGAAATCTCACATGAGTAGTGAAAAACATGTCAGTTTGATGAAGTCAATGGAAGGACAGATAATGGCGGTGTCTTCAAATGTCGGTGGCGGTGACAAAACCTAGTTTAACACCGATGAATCCTCTTCAAAGCAGGTCAAGTAGCGATGTGACAATTTACGTGTCTGCTCGTAATGCTGCCATGAAAGGAGAAATTTTATGGGTTTTAAGAACTAGGCTATAACTACCCATTCTTCTAAGCACCACCAGTACTAGCGTACACATACACATGTTATGGAGACAAGAGAACCAAACTTCCTGATGATTTGCAAATACACACACATCTTTAGGCAAAGAACAGATTAACCCAATTGACAAATATTAACTATCTTTATTGATTTCACAGTTCAGAAGTTAGGTACATGTGTATTCTGTCAGATTAATATCCTTGAAAAGTCCTTGAATTTCAAACTCCAGAGTTCTTGAAAAGTCTTTGAATTTTTGAGGCAAAGTGCTGTATGAACCCTGATAGATATTACAGTTTTCAACTGATTTTGAAACTTGATGTGATAATGTATATTGATGAGATCTTGGTCAAGTTTGAATTTGGTCATAATCGGATGAATGGTTTTGGAGTTATTGCCCTTGATTTAGTAAAACCGCATCAAATTTTGCTTGTAGTCATGATACAGGGTGCAGGTTTTATCTGATCTCATTGAAACTTGATATGCATGTATATCTTGATGAAATCTCAAGGTCAAAAATGGTAATAATTGGATGAATGGTTTTGGAGTTATGACCCTTGAATTAATTCAATGCGACTAATTTGGCTTGTAGGCCTGATAGAGACTACATTTAATATTTGTTTTTTGATGAAACTTGGTATGAGACCTGAGTTAAGCTTGAATTAGTAACAATCGGATGATTGGTTTCACATATGAAACCACTACAGACTTTGTTATCATTTCTGACAGCTGGTGGTGGGCGTATGTTACCTTGCCTGGCAAGCTATCTTTAAAAAAATTTTGGAATTACTTAGCATAAGTAACTTGTAGTAAATATATATATATATCATTGAATTCAAACTAATAAAATTTCTTTAATATGAGAAAATACGTACTTTAGTCACTAAAGTCTGTTTTTTATCATTTCAAAATCAAAGCTGCCAGTGGGTGCATATTATCTTGAGTGGCAAGCCATCTTTATTTTCAGGGGTTACTTTATAAAGATCCAAAGAGATGGAGTTTTTCGTTCAATATGTATGCACAGTTAACCAGAATACAGATGCATAAAAAACAACAAAAGAAACCCATTAAAATGTTAGAAAGATCTTTGTACAGCACACAATATTGTTTTGTCGAAAATGATTTCAGAAAGTAAGCTTATGTTTTCTATATTCAGTGAATATGGATTAAGAAGGTTCAGGGTTTAATTCAAGCATAGGACGAGATTATAATTTGAGATTAATTTTTAACTAATTTTTTAAATCCAGTTTCCACCTGTCAGGGATTCAGGTTGGATGGGCTGTGTAGAAAGAGTATCAAGTCCTTCTGACTACAGGCTGTGCATGCCCTTGACATTTGGAAATGATAAAAGATTAGGCATATGCTGTTGTCCTGGCGAAAATTACCTCATTGCATACTGTATAGTGTTGCCCATCTTCATTAGCCCAATCAGGTGAAGAGAAGGTTCAAAACTCAATTCATTTTGTTTCGGATGTTTCTTGGTTTTCTTTATTTAACTGGTAAAGATGGACACATGAAAGTATCGTCCAAATTGAACACCTTGTATATATTACTTTACTTAAACAATGTACTGACATATATACTGCGTTTCCACTGACAATTGTGAAGGAAAGCTAGCTCTAAGCTAGCTTAGAGCTAGCTTTATTGCCGAACACGTTGCGTTTACACTGAGTTTTTCTGGTTCCCGAACGACTTTGGTCTCGATCATAAAGTCGCACATTATTGACAGCATGCGATGTACAAGACTATCGTTAAATCGGAAGTACATTATTGCGCATGACCGGTTAAGGTAAACAAAGCAATAATGGCGGCCAATTCGATGTTAACTTATAAATTTTTAGTTAAAAAGAAGAGAAAACGCAATTCTTACAGTGGATGTAACTTGGACATTCGTAGATACTTGCAGCGACGAAAGAAAGTTCAAATGCTGGTTTTGATTCTGATAAGAATTCTTTTTATCGACACGCCCCCTATTGCCGAACGAGAAAAAGCCAGCTTTTTGTGTTTCCACTGAGTAAACGAAAGCTGGCTTTCATTTGGCCCCCGATAAATTGCCGAACGAGAAAAGCTTCAATTGCCGAACCGTTACGGTTCCCGAACGCTAACGGTTCGGCAATTTGTCAGTGGAAACACAGTTATTGAGGGAGATCGTTGCCAAAAGTATTCACAAAGTCAAACTTGAACACAAGGCCTAGACTTTACAAAGTCATATTTCAACATTACACAATTACAAAATAAACCTTCCTAAAATCAAAGAGTCAATGTACTTATTACAAAGTAGAGATATTGATAGTTTACTTTTCAAACTTTATTTCACATCAGACACCATTCAAACTTTCCTTTACGAAAATGAATTCTTAACTTTGCATTATTGACATATCAACTATGTCTTCTTGACTTTGCATTCGTGAAAGATGTAAGTTCGACCACTGTATTCTTGAGAGTTGTAAAGTCAACTTCTGCATTCTTGAACGTTTACCATATAAGGTAACGTGACCTACTTTATTTACATCATCCGGAAATTCACGAAAACTAACGGAAATATAAATCAATAATTGCTCCTTTTCAAAGGGATTTAACTCTAAATAAGCCTCAAAACCGGATGTTTAAATGCGGCATTGGTCAATTGACACTTCGTCATTACTTCAGTGGCCGGCCAATTTTTGTGGCCGATGGATACACTGATTTTTTTGATTGATTGTAATTGTTGTAATTAAATCAAAAAACAAAAAATTTGTAATTCATTTCTTATTCAAATGAAACCTCTAAAAAGTCGTGTAATGAATAGAATCATTACATAGTTATCAACATTTCTTTGGCCAGTGACGGATATCCAATATGAATATTGAAAAATGGCCAATTTTTTCCAATGGTCTCCTTTGGAATTATGAATGCAATTGTTGGTGTCATTGAGGTCCTGGGATACATGTTAAGGTGTACAATTGGGAGAAATGCTTTTTATTCCTATAATCGCTAAAATATGGCCATTGACGAATATCCAATATGGCAGACTGGCCAGTCAAAGACAAAGCCCCTACATGGCCATAGTCCATAGTAATGGAGGTGGGGCAGATTTTTGGATGGAATTGGCACAAACTCAATCACATAGTGCCTTCAGACCTGTGAATATCCCTAAAATTACAACATAATGGTATTTTCATGCCTAACTCTGTCACTGGCCAGTCAATGAAGAAACCTCTACATGGCTAATTTTTGAAATATGGCTAAAAATGTTTCCTATGGTCTGCTATGGAATTATGAATGACATTTTTAGTGCCAGTGACATCCTGAGATGCCAATCTAACATTTTTAGAGAAATGCTCTTTATTCCTATAATTTCTCAAATATGGCCAGTGACGAATATCCAATATGGCAGACTGGCCAGTCATCTCAAAGACGAAGGCCACACATGGCCAATTTTTGCACAGTCCACAGTAATTGGGGTGGGGCAGATTTTTGGATGGAATTGGCACAAAATCAATCAAATGGTGTCTTCCGACCTGTGAATATTGCCAAAATTCCAACATAATGATATTTTCATGCCTAACTCTGTTACTGGCCAGTCAATGACGAAGCCTCTACATGGCCAATTTTTGAAAAATGGCCAATTTTTTAATATGGAATTATGAGTGACAGTGAGGTCCTGAGATGACAATCATATTCAGGTATAAAATGGGGAGAAAAGTTTGAAATGCCATATTTGATATTCGTCACTGGCCATATTTGAGAAATTATAGGAATAAAGAGCATTTCTCCCCATTGTACACCTAAATATGTCAGATTGGCATCTCAGGACCTCACTGGCACCAAAAATCTAACATATTTAGGTATACAATGGAGAGAAATGCTTGAAATATCATATTTGATATTCGTCACTGGCCATATTTGAGAAATTATAGGAATAAAGAGCATTTTTCCCCATTGTACACCTAAATATGTTAGATTGGCATCTCATGACCTCACTGGCACCAAAAATATCATTCATAATTCCATAGCAGACCATAGGAAAAAATTTGCCATATTTAAAAAATTGGCCATGTAGAGGCTTTGTCATTTACTGGCCAGTGACAGAGTTAGGCATGAAAATACCATTATGTTGGAATTTTGGAGATATTCACTATGGCACTATGTTTTTGAGTTTGTGCCAATTCCATCCAAAAATCTGCCCCACCCCAATTACTGTGGACTATGCAAAAATTGGCCATGTAGGGGCTTCGTCTTTGACTGGCCAGTCCGTCATATTGGATATTTGTCACTGGCCATATTTGAGAAATTATAGGAATAAAAAGCATTTCTCCCCATTGTACACCTAAATATGTTAGATTGGCATCTCAGGACCTCACTGGCACCAAAAATATCATTCATAATTCCATAGCAGATCATAGGAAAAAATTGGTCATTTTTCAAAAATTGGCCATGTATAGGCTTCATCATTGCCTGGCCAGTAACAGAGTTAGGCATGAAAATATCATTATGTTGGAATTTTGGCGATATTCACAGGTCTGAAGGCACTATGTGATTGAGTTTGTGCCAATTCCATCCAAAAATCTGCCCCACCTCCATTACTATGGACTGTGCAAAAATTGGCCATATAGGGGCTTTGTCTTTGACTGGCAAGTCCGCCATATTGGATATTCGTCAATGGCCATATTTTAGCGATTATAGGAATAAAAAGCATTTCTCCCAATTGTACACCTTAACATGTATCCCAGGACCTCAATGACACCAACAATTGCATTCATAATTCCAAAGGAGACCATTGGAAAAATTTGCCATTTTTCAATATCCATATTGGATATCTGTCACTGGCCAAAGAAATGATGATAACTATGTAATGATTCTATTCATAACACGACTTTTTAGAGGTTTCATTTGAATAAGAAATGAATTACAAATTTTTCGTTTTTTGATTTAATTACAACAATTACAATCAATCAAAAAAATCAGTGTATCCATCGGCCATAAAAATTGGCCGGCCACTGAAGTAATGACGAAGTGTCAATTGACCAATGCCGCATTTGAACATCCAGTTTTGAGGTTTATTTAGAGTTATATCCCTTTGACAAGGAGCAATTATTGATTTATATTTCCGTTAGTTTCCGTGAATTTCCGGATGATGTAAATAAAGTAGGTCACGTTACCTTATATGGTAAACGTTCAAGAAGGCAGAAGTTGACTTTACAACTCTCAAGAATACAGTGGTCGAACTTACATCTTTCACGAATGCAAAGTCAAGAAGACATAGTTGATAATGTCAATAATGCAAAGTTAAGAATTAATTTTCGTAAAGGAAAGTTTGAATGGTGTCTGATGTGAAATAAAGTTTGAAAAGTAAACTATCAATATCTCTACTTTGTAACAAGTACATTGACTTTTTGATTTTATGAAGGTTTATTTTGTAATTGTGTAATGTTGAAATATGACTTTGTCAAGTCGAGGCCTTGTTTTCAAGTTTGATTTTGTAAATACTTCTGGCAACGATCCCCCTCCATACTGACAAGCTTAAAATTGATTAAGCAAACTTGTTAGTTTAAACTTATATATCTTTTGCAGGGGAACATTAAATGGTCTAGAGCATGCTATAATTAGTGAATGGTTTGAATGGTTATTAAAATCTCAACAAGTACAGTTAGATCTTATAGGTATGGGAACTTGGTCATAAGTAAACTAATATTGTATTGAATACTGTTATTGAAATTTATATCTGTAGTAATATTGCCTTATTCCAAATTTTAGCAATATTAGAAATTGGTCATGTGTTAGGTTATAAAAGTTAGGTGCTCAAATTAATGACAACTACAGATCAAAATCTAGTGAAAAGCTTTAATTACCTTATCTGAAAGATTTATCCCTTGGAATTCTGAGTGTAAATTAAATAAAATGTCATATACCCTGAACTCCAAACTCCAATTAATATAAATTAAAGCGTGAACATTGGCGTTGTGCGATGCACTTGGTTTAACGGCCGCTCAGTTTGAAAGAGTTAAGGAAAAATATCTTGCATTTAGTTTAATTTATGACGTTTTTAATAAATTATGCATACTGCTCCTTTAATAGGTGTTTTTGTATCAAGTTGCCTTAAGGAATATAAATTGTTGTGTTTTAACAGTTTATTTAAGAGCTGATCCTGAGGTATGTTATGACAGAATAAGACAAAGATCCAGACAAGAAGAATCATGTGTACCCTTTGTAAGTCCATCAAAATTTTTTGTTAATGTCATAGCACAGCTATTGAGTTTTTGGACCAAGTTTCAAGCTGTAATGTACAGTCTGTAGATAAACAGAACTGGTCAAGCTTTTAGAGATTATGTGAAGCACAATTCTATACAGTTTTATAATGTACACAACTTTACAAAACAATATTTGAAACCAACTTTAAGCTACTTTAGATAGTCTCAATACTCAATTTTAGGAATTAATAGAAGAACTTCATAATTTACATGAAGATTGGTTGGTACATGAATCTAGTTTTAAATCACCGGCTCCAGTTCTTGTAAGTTATTATGTATGTCACAGTGTATCAAAACGAAAAAAAAATTTTTATGTCTTAGATGTTTCCTCAGATATTCTAAAAAATAATTAAAATTGGTTTATTTCAATTTTCTTTATGAATCATTCACTTTAACCCATATTTCATGAGCAACCAAAGAACCACGATTTAAAAAAAAAATAGTGACTGTCAAAATAAGATACGTAGCGTGATTTATTGCTAAAAGTCACTGAAACAACATAAGAATATGGTCCACTTTGTGCTCCATAGAAATTTTCTGCTGACACAGAATCCGCTAGTTGATCACGTGACTTCATTCGTTGGAATATATTCTAGCAGACGACACTTGGAATTCCGATTACCGCTTGGGATTATAAGGAAATTCGGCCGATAAAAAATGGGGACGTTTGGTAATAAGTGAAATCCGCCATTTTGTATTTGTCAAAGTATACATTAATACATTTTACCTTGGATTAAACTAATGGATTCATTCTACTAGCTGATATTGTAGAGAAAACCCATGTTTATCAAAACAAACTAATGCGGAGGTCGCACGAGGTCGCACATGTAAATTATTAATCATTTCCGGAAATCCACGAATAATGGGTTTCCACGAAATTAGGTTACTTGACTGTATAAATATTCATTTCCTACATGTGTTATCTTGACTGGCAATTTAGCAATTCCCAATTATTTCATGTCAAAAATGTTTCTTTCAGGTAATGGATGCCAATAATGATTATAATGTTATGAAAGATATTTATGAAGAAAGGAGGAGTGATATTTTATGTGGATATTGCTGATGTTGAGTGTGGAAGTTTTTAAAGTGTTCATATAATAATCTCATGAAGAGTCTATATAGTAATATTCTTCACAGAGTTTTCAATAAATGGTTGGAAAGATTAAACTTACAGATGAAATCAAAGCTATCAGAAGGAGAAGCTACCATAATACTTGGGTTTTATTTATTTTATTAAAGCAATGATTTTCTAGGATGAGATTCACTAGTGGAAAAGTTTATGTACAACTGCCTTTACAAGCATTTATATTAGTTAATAGATAATCGGCTCTAGAAGTCGTATTTTTCGGTCGATTTTCTTTGGGTTTGCATTTTTGGAATCTACTGTTAAAATCTGAAAGAATAGCAGTTTCAAAATTTCAAAATTCGAAAATTTGTCGCAGACATTTTTTGGCCGATTTTCGAAATTTTTGGACCATTTTTCAGTTTTTTTCGGATTAATCTGAAATTTTGATAAAAGATGCATGTCACTAATGTAAACCATTTGACGTATTCAAAATTTTTGCGTCACTTCCGGTTAAAGTGGAAAATCGATTTTCACTTCCGGTTGAATAACTTCCGGTGTGATTGAAATATTTCAACGAAATTATGTATATCGTTATTAATCTTAATTCTATGGCCGATTTTAAAATAAAATTTAGTCCGAAAAAAAAACTTCGGCCGCCATCTTGATTTGATACTTTTTCATAAAACTCAAAATGGGGCTTCGGGGGAGAATGGGATTGGTCAAATTTTTATGTTGGTGTATACTTTAGTCGATGGCAACAAAAATGTTGGAAATGGATTTTTGAATTTGACTTTTGCTTTTTTTCAACTTCCGGTCGAATTTTTTTTCACTTTTTGAAGGCTTGTATCTCGTGACCTTGACCTTTGATGACCTTGACCTTTTTAGGGTCAAAGGTCATTGACCTTGGCTATCATTTGATACTTTGACCTTTGACCCCAGACATGTACTTCCGGTTTTATAGCTATCCGTAAAAAGCCAAATTCGCAACTTTGGACTGCTCTAACACGTGACCTAATTAACCTAGAGGGTTAATTTTTTTGGTTTCCTAATGTTCTTCTCATGCACTTTACATCGATATAGAACAATTGCTTTTTTAAAGCAAAATTGAAATTCGTGATTTTTTCAAATTTGAGTTTTGTTTTACCATATTTGTGTCTTTTTGATCTTGGTGTATGTATATCTTATGACCTATTTTATGGAGAACCTTGATATTTGGAATACAACTAGACACTTTGAATATGAATTCACCTATGGCAAAAAAATTGGGGTGGGCGTGGCACCCCCGGGTTGAATTACTAATTGTTTACATTTTGGGGCTGGGGCATAACTCGCATAGGATACGTTTGTTATAAAAGGGACTTTGCACACAATTACCTCATCCTTTTGGCCAGTTTGTGTTAACAGCTCAGTTGTTTCAGCTTTATAGTTCCAAAAAAGGAACGGGTTTTAACATTTGGATATTTTCATTTTTCGATTTTGACCTTTGTTGACATTTGTTGACCTATATCTTTTGATTTGAATAATGTAGAAGCTTGAAATTTGAAACACAACATAACATTTGGAATATCAATTACCCTATGCAAAAAAATTAAGGTGGGCGTGGCACATCCGGGTAATATTACTCATTATTGATATTTTTGGCCAGGAGCATAACTAGCAAAGTATACGTTTGTTCAAAATGGAACTTTGCATACAATTATCTCATGATTTGAGCCACTTTGTCTTAGAAGTTCGGTTGTTTCCGCTTCTTAGTTCAAAAAAAGGAACAGGTTTTGGAAATTCAAAATTTTCAATTTTTGACCTTGACCTTTGATGACCTTGACCTTTATTAGGTCAAAGGTCATTGACGTTGTCTATTAGTTTATGCTTTCATATTTGACCTCTGACGTCTACTTTCACTTTTATAGCTGTCCAAAAACATCCAAATTCGCAACTTTGGACTGCTCTAGCACGTGACCTAATTAACCTAGAGAGTATTTTTTTTCGGTTTCCTAATGTGCTTCTCGTGTACTTTACATAGATATATAACAATCGTTTTTTTAAAGCAAAATTGAAATTCGTGATTTTTTCATATTTGAGTTTTTTTTTTACAATATTTGCGACTTTTTGAGCTTAGTGTATGTATATGTTATGATCTATTTGATGTAGAACCTTGATATTTGGAATATAACTAGACACTTTGAATATGAATTCACCTATGACAAAAAAACTTATGTGGGCGTGGCACATCCGGGTTGAATTACTAATTGTTTACATTTTGGGGCTGGGGCATAACTCGCATAGGACGCATTTGTTCAAAAAGAGACTTTGCACACAATTACCTCATCCTTTTGGCCAGTATGTATTAACAGTTCAGTTGTTTCAGCTTTATAGTTTCAAAAAAGGAACGGGTTTTAACATTTGGATATTTTCATTTTTCGATTTTGACCTTTGTTGACTTTTGTTGACCTATATCTTTTGACCTCTATTATGTAGGAACTTGACATTTGGAACATAACGTAACATTTTGAATATTGATTAACTTATTAAAAAAAAAATTGAGTTGGGCGTGGCACTTCCGGGTTTAATTACTCATTATTGACATTTTTGGCCAGGGGCATAACTCGCAAAGTATACATTTGTTCAAAATGGAACTTTGCATACAATTACCTCATATTGTGAGCCACTTTGTCTTAGAATTTCGGTTGTTTCCGCTTCTTAGTTCAAAAAAAGGAACAGGTTTGGA